GCGAGGCCGGGAGCGGGCGCTGCCAACGAGTGCGAGCTTGCGGGCGCTCGTTGGCCGGCCCCGTGCTCGGTGCGGACGGCCGCCTTCGAACCTCGGGGGGCAGCTTCCCCAGGGCGGCTTCAGGGCTAGCCAGGCTCTTCCCCGTCTTTTGGGCAGCTGGGGAAGTTAGAAAGTTTTGGGTTTTCTTTTTTTTAACTTTTCCATGCATTGATTAAAAAAAACCCTACCTTCTCCTACTGCCGTTACTTGGTTTCCATGATTCCTATCTCCTGGTTTTTCTTTTAAAAAAAATCCTCACCAGGCCCGCCGGGCGTGGCTCCGCGGTTGAGCATCGACCTAGGATCCGGGCGATCAGGGTTCGATTCCCGGTCAGGGCACAGGCCCGGTTGCGGGCTCCATCAATGACTCTCTCACCATTGATGTTTCTATCTCTGTCTCTCCCTCTCCTTTCCTCTCTCTGAAATCAATAAAGGTATATTTAAAAAAAAAAAAAATCCTCACCAGAGGATATATCTTTATGGATTTTTGGATAGAGAGGGAGGGGCGAGGAGGGGGCCGTGAGAGGTGAGAAAGAAACGTCTGTGTGAGGGAAACGTCCTCCATCGGTTGCTGCCCCATCCGCACCCTAAAGGGGGATTGAACCTGCAGCCCAGGTATGTGCGCTGACGGGATGGAAGCCCAGCCTTCCGGCGCCCTGGGGCGCTCTGCGGCTGGGCCTCCGCCAGGGCTCTCCCGCTGCTCTAACTCAGCCTTCCTCAGTCGCCTGTGCAGCACCCCCATTCTACTCACCACAGCCAGGTCTGGGTGATTTCACTCAGAGGTTCAGCTACCATCTGTTTCAGGGTGACTCCCCTAACTATGGCTCCAGCTGGACCCCTTTCCTGAGCTCAGACCTGCTTACTGATCATCCACACCTGCACCTTCCCCAGTCTTCCGGGTCTCCCAGATCTGTCTCTCCTGTCTGGGTGAAGGACTTCACCATTCACTTAGCCAAGTCTGCACCTGGAATTCCTCTAATATATGCAGCAAACATCTGTTGGGTATTTCCTATATTCTAGGCAGTATGCTGTGGGCTATTGGGCAAGGTATAGAAGTGAAAAAATAATCGTGAACAGGATACTGGCTTACGTGCTCTGATTTCCCACCTCTCTCTCCCTCACTTGGTGTAGACATCACATCCTGTTATTCTGCTCCTAATAGCCATAGAATCTGGTCCTTCCTTTCCATTCTCACAGCCACTAATTTAGTTCATAATTTCTTGCCTACGCTTTCAGGATAACTTCTTTTTTTTCTTTCTTCTTTTGAATATATCTTTATTGATTTCAGAGAGAGGAAAGAAGAGGGAGAGAGAGATAGAAACATCAATGATGAGAGAGTCACTGATCGGCTGCCGAGCCCGCAACCCGGGCATGTGCCCTGACGGGGAATGGAACCCTGATCGCCTGGATCCTAGGTCAATGCTCAACAGCTGAGCTATGCCTGGCTGGGCAGGATAACTTCTTAAGTGGTCCCTCTGCCTCTCTTCTCTCCGTCCTCCAGTCAGTTCTTACACAGCTGTCATGATGATGTGAAATCCTGTGATGACCCTCGTCTTCAACAGTATAGTCCTTTACAATGCGCTCCTTCCTTCCATTGCCCCTTGCGCTCTGGTCATGTCAGAGTGGTTAGCGCTCTGGCTTTGGAGTCCCATAGATTGGTGTGTGCATGTTTTGCTCTGCCATTTACTAGCTGCGAGACCTTGTACAAGTTGTTTTTTATTTAAACCTTGCTGAGACATAATGAATTCTCTGCACCCACCATATTCTTTCCTGCCTCTGCCTCTGTGCATGCTGCTTCTGCCTTAAATTCCCTTGCTCCCTTATCTCGGTGAGCTGCTATCCTTCGAGAACCATTTCAGTGGTCCTCCACTCTGTGATGCTTTCCCTGATCTTCCAAAGTAAGGTTAGTTTCCCTTAGTTTTGTGTCTCATATTTTGTTACTTCCCTTAATGTGCTTAACATATTATGTAATCGTGTGTTTACCTGTTTGACTTCCCAGCTAGGCTGAGCTGGAGTTCAAGCCCATGTGTAATCAGGTTCTTACCCTAACAGTGAGTGCAGTGCCTGACCCATGGTAGGCCAGTTATTGAATGTCTGAATGGCTTTAATTGATATTCCCTCGTACTGGATTGTCCTCTGGAACAAGTAAAATAAGCCCTTTAAGAATGTGAATTGTAATAACAATTGACAGTTATTGAGATCTTACTATGTTTTAAGTACTTTATGTGTATTGAATCATGTAACTCTCACAACCCTTTGAGATAGGTATTGTTATCCCCATTTCTACAGATGAGGAAACTGAGGCAACTTGCCCAGCTGATTGGTGGTAGATCTGGGATTAAATCCGAGAATGTTCTAAAACCTGTGCTCATCGCCACTACATAATCAACTCTAATGTCTTCTACTTTCTCCCCAAAGCCTTCTCCAGTAATTTTTTTTTCCCTTGTGGTGAACTTTCTTTAAAATTGTTCAAGCAGGGAGGAAGAAATAAATATGCAGGTAGCCCTAGTTGTGCATATGCGTGTGTATGCTTTGTTAGTGTTCGAAAAGTACAAAACTTTTTGGCTATGCTGACAGCGTTCCAGGATGGTAACCACAGTGTTGAGGGGCTGGGGAACAGTGGCATGTAATGCATGGAACGGAGTACTTAGCTTAGAGTAGTGAAGCCTTGGGTGCCCTCTTTAGGTCCAGAGGGCAGAACAGGCAAATGGGAGGAAGCTTCTTAGAAACTGATTCTTGGCTTAATATGGGAAAGACTTTTTCATAGTTGATAATTAACTGTGGAATTGGCAGTAACATCAGTAAAACTGCTAAATTTGTTTAACAGTATTGTGTACTAGTGACTATGCCAGGTACTGTATAAGAAGCACCTCATTTCATCCTCAAATAACCTTTTGATGTAGATTATCATGATTATTTCCATTATACACATGAGGTTATTGAGGCTCTGAGAGGTGAAGGACCTTGCCTAATGTGCCGACAGTTATACAGTTGGTAAGTGAGAGAGCTGGGATTTGAATTCAGGTGTTTCTGGCCCCAGAGATGGTGCTTGGACCACTGTGCTGTCTGTCACTTAAAGCACAAAGAGAGAGAGAGGAAAATTTCAGTATGGGAGGGGTAGTTAGACCAAAGCTTTTATGGTTTGTTTTTTTTTGCTCTAGATTCCTTGGTTCTATGTTAGTGTTTTATAGCAGAGACAGAGCTCCTGTACTTTATATACTTCATTTTGGGCTTGGTCAGAAAATGCAGAGGAAGGCGGATGCATGGCCTACATAAGTTTGTGGTTTAACAGGAGAGGTGGAACATATTCCCATGAAAGAAATAATATTAGGAGTAATATGCCTACGAACACATGAAAACTGTGTCCTTACTGCTGAGGAGGTTATGTGTTAATGAGAAAGGCTGAAGTTAGCCAGGGGGGCTTCCTGAAGGAGGTATATGGGCCACTTTTTTTTTCTTCTGCTAGATTCTGGGATTGGCAGGAGATGGATGAGTGCAATTGGATGACCCCTCCCCTACAATTGTTATGGCTCATAGAGAGTCTCAGGCCTGGTGGCAAGTAGATCTCGTTGAATTTCATCTCATCTGTTGGTAAGTGCTACATGGAATACAATATTGATGGTTCTGAAGGCATGTAGGGGGTACTATGATTGACTAGTGATGTCCCTCACAATCTCAGGCTTGGAAGGAAATGCTAGGACATGTGCCATGTATTTGCAATAGCAGATTTCAGGGCTACTTTCTTAGATATCTCATCTCCTCTGTTACTGCTATAGCCCAGGTTATCATCTCTCACCTGGACTAGCTCATGGTTTCCTACTTAATCTCTCTGCAGCCATTCTGATTTTCTCCCTTCCAATCTGGCCTCCATTCCAGTCTGTATTCCCAATGGCTGCCAGAGTGAACATTTCAAAATGTGTATGTTAAAAAGCCCTTTCCTGGCTTTCTTATTATAAAGGCCAACTTCTCAGCATGGTGTGGCTTCCACCCACCTCCCCAGCAGCATCTCCAGCCATGCTTCTTGCTTGGTGGTATTTCCTGTTGAAGGGCCTTTGCATGTGCCGCTGCTTCTGTTAGAACACCTTTTCCACTCTCTGTCTTGTGAATACTTGTCCTTCAGTCCTCAGCATAGGTTTTATTTAAATCAGACTCATTTCCTCTAGAGCTCTTACCTCGTTTATAATTACACATTTATCTGTGACTTTTGGTTGGTTGTCACCCTCCTTCATGAGACTGTAGCTCCAGGGGAGTAGTAGCTGAATCTGCTTTTATCATCACCCTTTCATCTCTAGTGCCCAGCTGTAAATAAACTTGGCTCAATAAATATTGCTCGAATGAGTAAATGATCTCTAGTAGCCATTAAATAAATATGGTTTCTCTTCTCACCACCTTCCTTATTCCTACAGTTCCTACTCTTATTTATTTATTTTAAATCCTCACCCGAGGATACCCTTTCCATTGCTCTCCAGAGAGAGTGGAAGTGGGGGTGGGGGGGGGGAGAGAGAAACATTGATGTGAAAGAGACACATCGATTGGTTGCCTCCCACATGTGCCACTGCTCAGTGGTTAGAACTGGCTGGGGCTACAGTTCTACTCTTTTGGCCCTGTCCTTGCTCACTCTTTTCTGAAGCTAGGCAAGGCGAAGAAAGAAGGCAGAATATGGCCCACTCATATTTTAGTTTTTTTCTGGTAGGTTTGTTTGACATTTAAGTGATCCATGAATTCAGATTTCTAGGTTCTTTCTGACCTTTAACTAGTTAAACTTAGATAATTATATATGTAGCTAATTAGACACTTTGCCACAAGGACAGAGATTTTACCTGTCCCATGTTTTCTGGAGATGGGATGTGTCTAGGGATGGGTAACTGCAGAACTGCTCAAATTCTCTGAGGTAGTTGATGCAATGACTGTATTGATCACTGCCTGTTGGAGTGAATGATGCCCAGCCTGATGTTCAGGCCACTATTGGTTCCTCCCTCCCCAGGGATCCTTTCCCTTTCCCTCTCCTCCCCAACTCAGAGGATTAAAGACTCTTAAGCCACCAGGTACTGTGCTGCTCCTGTGCTTTCCTGCTGTGCTCTTTCAGAATCAGTGGCTCTCCTCATAAATGGGTGTGTGCAGAGGCTGGAGTGCCAGGCGTGCAGGGCGTCACTGGGTTCTTGTGGCAGGGACCAGAGTCCCACTGGGGCTCATACCCTGCAGAGAAGATGCTTCTTCCTCTCTCCTTGCTTCCCGCGGTGCTGCTCCAGCTTACTGCTTCGTGGCATCCTGGTGGGAATGAGAGGCAGCAGAGCCTGGCTCCCTGTGAGTCCTAAGGCCAGACACCTCTCTTGCCCATCTCAGCTGTCAGGCTGCAGAGAAGGCCTCAGTAATCCCATGCTATTGGTCAGGTCCCTCTCTAGGAATCTTGGAGAAGATTCAGAATGATCAGATCTGAGCGCTCATTGCAAGTCACATCCTGACCTTTAGATGACAGGTTTTTTCTGCTTTCAGAGGTCTATGTCATGCTCACACTCCAGGTGGGACAGTGACAGCTTCTGAAGAGGTCAAGATCTGCTCCTCTAGACTGCTGTTGGTCACACGGTGTGGCTGATGCCTCCTCAGTTGGGAGACACACTCAGAGTAGTGGCTACAACAGCCACTTTGCAGGGCCACTTGTCTGTGTGTCACTGGGCGTAGTGTAGGAGCTGACATCAGGGAGGGTTGGTGTGACCTTGGGTCCTGCGGCAGTTACAGGAATAGAGATGGGAAAGGAGGAACAATTCTAGAACTGTACCAGCTTGTTAGATGAAGAATTTGGCACTGTCCCATCCCTGAAGCTAGAAACCTTGGATTCTAGTTGGACTCCTTTCCACTCTTTCCCCTCACGTCCTAGTCCTGTTAACATCAAAGCATCCTTCGTATCTGTCGCTTCTCATTCCCACTGCTTCTGCCCTAGTTTGAGCCTCATCTCCTTTCAGCTGGATGGCAGCCTTCTCAGTGGTTTTCCTGAGACCAGTCTCTCATTTCTCTAATCCAGCCATGCCACTCCTGCCAGAGTTCTCATCCTAAAAAAAGGTCACTCTGTGCCACTTTTTTTCACTAAAGCCTCTGCCCCCCCCAACTGCTTTGCTACAGGGCAGAGTCAAGGCTCTTAAGCATGGTCTACCTGGCTTTCCACCCCAGCCCCACCATGTGTGCTGGTGGCCAGCACTTCAGAAAACCTTGTCTGCACATGGTGCTCCCTCTGCCTGGAATAGCTCTCTCCACTGTCAGACCTCCTGTCAGCCCACGTTACTCCTCTCCTAGTGCTCTCAAAGCAGGGTGTGTTTTCCCTTCTGCCTAGTACTGTTGTTGGGACAGTGTGACCACACTGGGGTCTGTTGGTATATGGTGGGGGTGGGGTGGGGTGTGTGCGTGTGCTGTTAGGTATTTTGGTCACTAGAGTTTTCCAGCTGGGGGTCGTATACTGTTTGTTCTTTCTCCATTTGAGGGATAGGAAGCCAGCCTTTTGAGAGAGTTGGGTTTTCAGATCTTTTGTGTTCCACCAAGTATTCAGCAAGCTTTAGGAGATGTGTCTCAGGGAACTTTCCTGGGCACAGAGCCAGAAGGCCTGAGTTCTTGCCGGCAACTGGCAAATTCCCAGCGAAGTTGGTTTGCAGGGTCTAGTCTGACCTAGGTGCTCCATGATGTAGCTCTGACTTTGTCTCTTCTAAGCTGGGTTACTGATTTTCTCTTTGGGTGGGGTCTCTGGGATCTAGGCCTTGGAGCCCAGGCCAATCATGGCCGGAAGACCCATCCGCATAGGAGACCAGCTGGTTCTGGAGGAAGATTATGATGAGACCTATATCCCCAGTGAGCAAGGTAAGAGGCCTGGGGTGTGTTGTAATAGTTCTTTGAGGGCGGGAATTATCTCTGATTTATCTTTGTTCTTCTGATGCAAAGATGGTATGTGCACAGGGCTGCTCAGTGTATTTGGGTTAATCAGGGTTGGCAAACTATATAGCCCATGGGCCTAATCCGGCCTATTGCTTGATTTTATAAATAAAATTTTACTTGCAAAACAGCTGTGCTTACTTGTTCATGTATAATCTATGGCTGCTTTCATGCTGCAAGGGCAATGCTGAGTAGTTTGACAGAAAGCATATGACCCACAGTGTAAAATATTTACCATCTGACCCTTTATAGGAAAAGTGTGCTGACCTTGGATTAGACCAATGATTAATTTTAAATGAAAATATAGTAGGGATATTATAGCTGAGGCCAGGGGAAACCCAATTTCTTAAGAACAAACTACAGCAGTGTTTTTTTTCTTTAAACAACAATAACACTATTAATAGCAATAATAACAAAATTTATTCAATGCTACTATGTGCCATTCTCTGTAGTAAGAACTCTATATGTATTTCCTCATAATAAGTAATAAGTTAGGTACTTTTATTTTCCCCATTTTACAGATGAGGAAAACCAAGGCACAGAAAGGTTAAGTAGCTTCTCTGCAGTCACACAGTTCTAAGCGGTACAGCTAGATTCCATACCCAGGTATTCTTAAGGGCCTGCACTTGGAAGCACTGTGCCATTTTTGGGAGTGAAGATTCCTTTGAAATTGTCATGAATTATGGACCTGGACACACAGATATTGCTTATAATTCAGATGGTTTGAGGGTCTGTTGGGGGAGGGGAAGATCTCTTTCACCCTCAGGAGTCCATGGATCCCACATTAAACCCTGGGCTTTGCTTGCAGCATAAGATTTTAGTTTATTTGCCATGTAGAAATTTTTAATTTTCATGTTAAATGCATCAGTCCATTCTCATATGGTCTCTAAGTTTTATATCACAGTTAGAAAAGCCTTCCCTACTCCAAGGATAAATACTTATCTTTTCCTCTAGGTTTGTCCCTACACCATCTGTGGAATAGCTCATCTTTCCCCCATTGGGTGCTGCCTGGGTGTCTTTGGGTCTACTCTCTCCTCTCTTCCATTCTGAGAAGTCTTCCTTGACCCTTTCTAAAGGAGTGCCCCCTCCACCTTGACGTTCTCACTGCTTTTGCCTCCTTCATTACGGTTGCCAGAAACTTTACTTCCCTGTATATTTATCTGTTCATTTCTCTACTGGCTGTTTCTTCTAGAATGCAAGTTTCATATGGGCAGAGGCCAATTCTCTCTCACTCATGGCACATGGTGACTGGGGCATAGGAGGCACTCAAAAACCGTTTGTGAAATCAGTGAATAAATGACTCCCTGGCTGGCCCAATTCCAGCTGGTCCTTTGAAAAAGTGCTTTTGTTTGCTAGTCCCCAGGTTTGTCAACCTCCTGCATGCCCCCTGTTGGAGAGAGAAACATTGATGTGAGAGAGAAACATCAACTGGTTGCCTCCCGTACACGCCCGCAACCTGGGTATGTGCCCTGTCTGAGAATCGAACCTGCCACCTTTTGGTGTACAGGATAATGCTCCAACCAACTGAGCCACACTGGCTAGGGCTCTAAATTTTTTATTCCAAAAGAGTGCAACAGAAGTGTTAAGAGTTCAGAACATATAGCAAAATTGAAAAGAAACAACTGTCTTCATGGAAGAGAGGTGCAGTGAGTGGGAAGACTGCCTGCGTATCATCTCGCCTTAGCTCAGGTGGCCCTGCTGGAATGTCCTGCTTTCTCTGCTCCTGTGGCACTCAGCTCACCTCTCCCTTACAGCACCCATCACCTGGATTTACACTAATTGTGTGTTGGTCGGGTCCCCAAGGGGCTTAGTCTCCTGTAGTTTTTCAGCACATTCTGGTTTGAGTGACGAGTACTTTTGCACTAAGATTTTGCAGATCTTGGGAGAGCTTGTGTCCTGGTTAGGCTGCTCTCGTTCAGAATTGTTCTAGCTGGGGCTGTGGGGATTCTTCCTGAGGCCCTGCTATACTGAAGTCTCTTGGTCTTATTTTTGTTTTTTTTGCATTTGTTAACTTGGCTTCAGATTATATTCTTGGAGTACAGCAGTAGCATACCTGGATTCAGATGTGCTATTTATAACTGTAGTTTAAGAACATTATATATATTTATTACATAGAACTAATACCTGCTCACCGAAGAAAATTTGGAAAGTAAAGGCAGAGTAGAAAACTTGTTTGGGGAAAAAACCCTGTTTTTCCTTTACTCTGAGCTCAGTGCTTCTGATATCAGATGTGTGGGGTTTCCCATAGCAACCAGTTCTCTGACATCAGCTGTGTGTCCTCAGTTCAGTTCAGTTCAGTTCTGACACTGTGCCTGCAGTTAGCACCAGTCTCACAAGTTCAAGGCTCAGTCCCACAAGATTGCACAGATGTTAATCAGAAGTCCCAGGTTGTCCTTGGCCCTTTGGGCCGTCAGCAGTACTCCAAGTTCCCACGACCCAGTCCTCAGGTGTGATGACTTGCTAGCACGGTCACAAAACTCAGGGAAACACTTATGTTTAACAGCTTATTATATGATAAAGGATGCAGGTGGACAGCCAGTTGAAGAGATATATAGGATGAGCTCTGGGAGGGTCCCTGGTGCAGGAGCTTCTGTCCCCGTGGGGTTGGGGTACGCTGTCCTCCTGGCACATGGATGTGTTCTCCAACCTGGAGGCCCTGGAAACCCCATAGTTTAGGGATTTTTATGGAGGCTTCATCACATAGACTTGATCTGTTAACTCACTTTCCAGTCCCTCTCCCCTCTCTGGAGAATGGGGGGTGAGCCTGAAAGTTCCAAGCTTCTCATCCTTGTTTAGTCTTTCTGGTGACCAGCACCATCCATGAGCCCACCCAAGTCACCTCACTGGAACAGAAGTGCTCCTGGTACTCGGGAAATTGCAAGGGTTTTTAGAAGCTCTGTTTCAGGAACTGGGGTCAAAGACCAAATATTAACAGGAACTGGGGGCAGAGACCAGCATATACATTTCTTATTATTTCACAGGTTGATTGTGACTTTTTTCCTTTTCATCCACCTGTCCACCTCTCTTACTTTTCTACCTTCCTGCCTCTCTTGCAGAAATTCTTGAATTTGCCAGAGAAATAGGTATTGATCCCATCAAGGAGCCAGAACTGATGTGGCTGGCACGGGAGGGCATCGTGGCACCACTGCCTTCGGAGTGGAAACCATGGTAAGTCAGCACTGTGTGGCCCAGATTTGCCCACCAGAGGTGGAGGGAGCCTGACACTGGAGATCAGCGCTAACCAGCCACCTTTTGAAGCCTGTCCTGCCTAGAGCTGGGGACAGCAATGGCTGTTCCTCCACTGTGCTGCCTGATGCGTGGGTCTGAGCCTAGGCCGACTTGATGGTCCCTGTGTGGCAGGGTCCCAGGAGCTGCTGCCTTGGCCAGGTCCTCGTGCCCCAGCATGTCTGTGGATGCACTCAGGAGGTGACTGTTATTCCTCACAGACCGATGTTGAGACCCCGTCAGCATGTCTAAATGGGTGCTGGTGCTGAGAGGTTTGTGATGAGGCTGAAGAGTGCATTTGAGTGATCTCTTCATGAATCTGTTCATATTCGTGTATTTGTTCAGATTTTTGGGTTCAGCTCTTTGGACTGTGAAAAGCAGAGACTCAGTCAGGTTACCTTAGGGAAACAGGTTGATGGTTGAGGAAACAAACTGGCCGAGGCAGGGAAGCTAAAGGAGTTTCGGCCGTGTCTCCCTCCTGAGGACGTGTCCTCTCCTGCTCTTGCTAACGCTGTTTCTGTTCTGCACGTCTGCCCTGTTCTCATCACGTGCACAGGGCACTGTCTCCAAGCTGTCTCCCTAAGTGAGTGCCATAAGTTTACTTCCTACTGTAGTGTGGGATTTCCCTATGCTTGTTCCCAATCGTCCCCACATGTCCTAGGGGTCCTCTCTTATGCTGGCATTGTGCAGTTTTTATGTGCAAAGTATAATTATTCTGTTCTTATCCATCCATTTAATGTGTCGGCCATACTTCAAATGACTATAACTGCAGCCTTACTTATCTCCACTGAAGAATCGTAATCCTTTTAGCTTCTCACCTGGCAGTGTCCCCTGTTCTCTTGATCTTTTTAGCTGCCTTCCCTTGGACCTTCTCCAGCTTCATGACATCTTTTTTGGAGTAAGTCCGTCAGCACTACACACAGTATTCCAGGTGCTGAGGACTCATGGTTGTTTGTAGAATAATGGTTTCTGTCTTGTTTTCAATATCAACCCTGATACATTTGCCTTGTCTAATAATCTCTGTCTTCTTTTTCCCTATGTTTTTAACTTTGTATGTATGTTGTTTTGCTTTTGGATATGTTTAAAAAAAAAGTCTTTATTGATTTCAGGGAGAGGAAGGGAGGGAGAGAGAGATAGAAACATCAATGATGAGAGAGTCATTGAGAGGCTGCCTCCAGCACACCCCCTGTGGGGATTGAGCCCCCAGCCCGGGCATGTGCCCTGACTGGGAATTGAACCATCCGTGATCTCCTGGATCATAGGTTGATGCTCAACCGCTGAGCCACGCTGGCAGGGCTTGGATATGTTTTTTAATGAAAAGCCATATGAGAAATATAATCAGTATAACAACACCTTAATGTACACATACACAATAAATAAATGGCTAGAGTGATGTTAAAATAGAAAGGTGGATGGAAGGAAGGAAACTGTCATTGGTTAAGGCCCAGCTGTGTGCCAGGCTTGTGCCAGCTGCCTTCACACATATTTGCTAGTGGTGGCCAATACTCCCTTGTGCTGTAAGGAGAGTGTGAAGTATTTTCACTTTTTAAAAAAATAAAAGTCATTACAACTTACGTATGCAGTGGTACCTCAATTTTCGAATGTGATCCGTTCCGGAAGACCGTTCACATTCTGAAATGATCGAAAACCGAGGGATCCACAGCCGACAGCTAGGCCTCAGAATCTCGCCCTCAGCGGAAGCCGTGTGGCATGTTTCACTTCCGAGGCGTGTTGGAAAACCGAAGCATTTCCTTCTGGGTTTACAGCGTTTGTAAACCAAAATGTTCGTCCGCCGAGACGCTCGAAAACCGAGGTACCACTGTACGTGTCATCTTTTACCCTTACTCTCAACCCCAAGAGTGATTAATTGGTGAATTCCTTCCAGACCTTTAAAACACACAGACCCGCCCCCGAAACATTTTGTTTTTTAAAAGTAAGTGCTGTATACACTGCTTTTTTATGTCTGGGTGTGAAAGTCTACCTCATTCTTTTACTGCTGCATGCTTTTCCATGCATGGATGGACCATAATTTAAAAAATCCTGGTTTATTTAACCACTTATATTGAAGGGTGTTTAGACTTTTCTCGAAATTGACCATTATGTGTGGGTCTGTCTGGGGAGTCTGCTGTCTTCGCTTATCTGTCTACCTTTATACGAATGTCAGGCCGTCGTGATTACTGTAGCTTCATTATAAAACTTGAAATTATTTAGGGTAAATCCTCCACCTTTGTTCTCCATTTTCAAAGTTGTATTGTAGGTCCTTTGTATTTGCATATGAATTTTAGAATCAGTTTGCCATTTTGTACAAAAAAATCCCGTTAGGATTTTGATTGGGATTGCATTGAGTCTGTAAATCAGTTTGGGGAGAGCTGACATCTAAAACCATATTGAGTCTTCCAACCCAAGAACAGGGTCTGTTTCTATTTAGGTTTTCTTTAATAACGCTAAGATATGTTTTGTAGTTTTTAGTGTATATCTTGCCCACATTTTGTTAGATTTATTCCTAAATAGTTCATATTTTTGATGTTTCTGTATATTTAAAATTTTAATTTCCAGTTGTATGTTGCTTTTATGTAGAAATAAAGTTGGTTTTTGTATATTCATCTTATATCTTGCAAACTTACTAAATTCACTTATGTCAGTTCTAATAGCTTTTCTGTAGATTCCGTAGGATTTTCTACATGGATGACCACATATTCCGGGAATAAGGACATTTTTACTTCTTGCTTTCTAATCTGGATACTTTTTGCTTCTACTTCTTGTCTTCCTGCACTCACTAGAACCTCTAGTATAACTGGGGAGAAGCGGTGATAGTGGACAGTTTTGCTTTGTTCTTTAGGGAGAAGCAGTGAGCCTTTCACCGTTGAGTATGATGTTAGCTGTGTTTTTGTAAATGCCCTTTGTCAGGATGAGGAAGTTCCCATCTCTTCCTAGCTTTCTGAGAGTTCAGATCAGAAATGGATATTGGATTTTATCAAATATTTTTTCTACATTTATTGATAAGATCATATGATTTTTCTATTTTAGTCTGTTAACAATTATATTGATTGATTTTCAAATGTTAAACTGACCTTACGTTCCTGGAATAAAGTCTGCTTGGTCATAAACATATGTTAGTTGATTTGATTTTCTAAAATTTTGTTACAGATCTTTGCTCCAAACTAATAGTTTGAAGGGAACGAGGTAGATAGAGTTTGGGCATTTTTATTACTGATTTCCAGTTTTTTTTATTCATTATATTCTTTGTTACAAATTGAGACTTCTTTTGTGGCTCAGTAAGTGATCCTGTGTATGTAAATGTTTTATGTGTGCTTGATACAAATCTCAGTTCTCATTTTTTTTTTTTAATCCTCACCTGAGGATATTTTTTCCATTGCTTTTCAGAGAGAGTGGAAGGAGGAGAGAGAGAGAGAGAGAGACGTTGATGCGAGAGAGACACATTGATTGGTTGCCTCCCTTTCGCCGAGCCTACAACCGAGGTACGTATCCCTGGCTGGAATCAAACCTGGGACCCTTCAGTCTGCGGGCTGATGTTCTAACCACTGAGCCAAACCGGCCAAGGCTCATCTCTCATTTTTGGATACAGGGATCTAAAAATGTCCTTTGTATCAAGCATGTTAACTGTTGCTTATATCTTCCTGTGTCCTTAGTCATTTTTGTCTGGTCTCACTCTTGAAAGATAGTTTCACTGAGTATAAAATTGTTTGTTGAATATGAACAACCCTTTGACAATATTATGCACCATCATCTCCTGACTTCTGATTTTGCAAATAAGACATGTTTTTGTGGTCTAATTTGTTGTTCCTTTATAGGCAATCAAGTTTTCCTTCTCTGGCTGTTTTTAACTTTGGTGTTTTGTAATTCCTACAGTGTATCTGAGTATGGGTTTATTTTTAATTACCATGCTCAGGATTGGGAGTGCTTTCCTACTCTGAGGACTTATTCCTCTTCAGTTTTGGAAAATTCTCAACCATATCACTTTTCTGGAACTCTTACTAGAAATATATTGGTCCCCCCTTTTTCTTAATCCTCTCTGTCTCTTTGAAAAAATTTTGTTGTTGTTAATTCTCACCCGAGTATATTTTTTCCATTGATTTTTAGAGAGTGAAAGAGAGAGAGGGGAAGAGAGGGACAGAGGGAGGAATAGCTATGTGAGAGAGGCACATCAATTGGTTGCCTCCTGCATGCGTCCCAAATGGGGCTGGGGATTGAACCTGCAACCCAGGTACGTGCTCTTGACCAGGAATCAAACCCTCAACCTTTCTGTGCTTGGGCTTTCTGTTGCTCTAAGCACTGAGCAACACTGGCCAGGGCAATCCTCTGTGTTTCTTAACTTCTGTTTCATAGTTTAAAAATTACTTTATCTTGCATGCTGCATTCTGGGTAATTTCCTTTGGCATATTTTTAATTCATTATTTGTTTCTTTTTCTGTGTTAAACTTACTGTTTAATCTACCTGTTTTTAAAAAAATATGACTACCAATTTCTGTAAGTTCTATTATGTTTTCTTCAGTATGTCTGGGTTTTTCTTTTTTTAGAATCCTGTTCTTTCATTGTGGATTCTGCTCCTTCTATCCCTTCTACAATAACTGTAAATGTAGTTATTTAGTCTTCTTTTAATCATTCTCCTGAGCCAAGTTTTGGATGTGATAACTCTTCTCTTTATTGTGTCCCTGTGTTCTGTCCTGGGGAGCTGTTTCTGCACGTGGTTCGTGATTATTTGTTGTGAATTTTGTGAGTTCATCTTCTGTGGAGGTGATTTTCTGTGAGTGTCTCATTCCTAGGTTGTCGAGTGGCTTTATAATGGCTTCTGTCCAGGATTTTTCAGTGGTTTAGCACCAAATTTTCATATTAGTTTCCTGACTTTGGATTTCCTTAACACATTTTCGCCTCTATACTTACATGTGTCTTGGGGTTTCAGTTATTCATAACATTTTATTTTGCCTGCTGGAACCTGGAGTGGGTGACATGCTTCTTTGTTGTTTCCATGACCCTCTAGGTTATTTTATTCATGGGGAAAGCATTCTTAAGGCCCACAGATGAATGTGAGAGTCTCATTTCCAGTTTCCACATTCATGAAAGCCTAAGGCCGTATTTTGTGTTCATAAATTGACATTAAAACCTGAGTTACCAGGGCCTGTGTCTGGGTCACATACCAGCCTTGACCTGTCAGCTCCTGTACTTCCTCCTCGGATCTCATGCTTTCCCTGTTTCTGGCACATGAGAACTTCTCTTTCTGTCTGGCTATATTGAAGACCTTTTTTTATCTTATTTTGTTGTTGTAGTTGTTATGTATTAATCAAGTATTTGTGTTGCCATGGGGTGAGGGTAGTTCCGTGACGCATGTTGCCTGGTTTTGTGTATGTTTCTTTAGAAAAATTTCTACAAGTTGAATTGATGTGTTAACAGATGTGCAGAATTGCCCTGGCCAGTTTGGCTCAGTGCTTAGAGCATTGTCCTGCGTACTGAAGGGTTGTGGGTTCGATATCCTTCAAGGGCACATACCTCAGTTGTGGATTCGCTCCCTGCCCCCTGTCGGGTGCATTTGGGAGGCAACCAGTGGATGTGTCTCTCTTTCCCCCTTCCTTCCTCCCTTTCACTCTCTCTGAAAAGCAATGGAAAAAATATCCTCAGGTGAGGATTAACCAAAAAAAATTTTTTTAAAATGCAGAATTTAAATAGTTAGATAATACCAAATTATTTTTCCATTACAGTTTATCAGTCACATCAATAACACATGATTGTCCATTTAAAAATATCAAAAATTATCAATCCAAAAAATTGTCAGTCTGAAGGCAAGAAATTATACCTGATTGTTTTAATTTGTATTTCCCACATTGTTCAGAGTTGAGTTGGCCATCAGTTGGCCGTGGTTTAGCTTTTGCGATTTGCTTGTTTATACCCTTTGGCTTTTTGTCTATTGTGTTGCTTATTTTTTAATTTTTGTTAAGGAGGTAGAACTCTTTTTTTTTTTTTTAAATATATCTTTATTGATTTCAGAGAGAGGAAAGGAGAGGGAGAGAGAGAGATAGAAACATCAATGATGAGAGAGTCATTGATTGGCTGCCTAGCCCGCAACCCAGGCATGTGCTCTGACCGGGAATCGAACCCTGATCACCTGGATCCTAGGTTGACGCTCATCCGCTGAGCCAAGCCCGGCCGGGCAAGGAGGTAGAACTCTTTGAATTTTCCTGTGTATTAATCTTACACCACCATTTCTGCTATTTTCCCTAGCTTCTTGTCTTTAATTTTCTTTATTCTTCCTTATGCACTGACTGAACAACGAGGCAGAAGTGCCCGTTGGCATCACTCCTGTGCATTTATACTAGCGGGTCTACAGTCATAAGTTACTAATTTTTTTGTAAGTTTTTTTTCTGGTAAACTATACATAACAAAATTGATTGTTTTAACTGTTTTTAGACATACAGTTCAGTCGCATTAATAAGTACATTCATGGTATTGTGCAACCATTACACACCACCATCTCCAGAACTTTCATCCTAAACCGAAATTCTGTATCCATGAAATAAGACTCCCCATTCTCCCCTCTCTCCAGCTTCTGGTCACCTCTGATCCATGTTCTGTCTCTATAACTTGTCTATTCTCAGTACTTCATATAAGTGAATTCATACAGTGCTTGTCCTTTTGTGACTGGCTTATTTTACTTAGCATAAAGTCTGCAAGGCTCATCCATGTTATAGCGTTTTTCAGAATTTAATTCCTTTACAAGACTGAATAATGTTCTAGGTATGTATACACATTTTGTTTTTCCATTTGTCGGTGGATTTTCGGATTGTTTCTACCTTTGGCGGTTATGAATAATGCTGCTGTGAACATTGGCATTAAAACCCATGTTCCTAGGACCTACATACAAATGTCTGTCTGAATCCCGCATTCAGTTCTTTTGGGTATATACCCAGAGGTTGAGTTGCTGAGACATATGGCAGTTCTACTTTCAGTTTTTGAGGACCTGCCATACTGTTTTCCACAGTGGCTACACCATTTTACATTCTCACAAACAGAGCACAGGGTTTCAGTTTCTCCATATCCTTGCCAACACTTGTTATTTTCAGCTTTTTTGATAATAGCCATGCTAATGGGTGTGGAGGGGTATTTTAATGCTATTTTGTGGTTTTAATTTTCATTTCTCTAATGTTTAGTGATGTTGACTGTCTTTTCATATGCATGTTGGACATTTGTATATCTTCTTTTTATCTTTTATCCCTGATATTTTTCCTGTTTACTTCTGTGTATTTTCTATTTTATTTGAATAGAAATTGAGTTGGTAGGTTTCATAAGGAGCCCGATTGGGGCTCTACTGGGATTGTAGGAATGAATTAGAGGATTACTGGCTTGTTTACAGACTTGAGTCTATTCAGGAACATAGAGTCTCCCTCTAATTGTTTTGTTCTCCCCCCCTCCCCCCTTTCCTGCTTTTCAGTAAAGCTTTATAAAGATTTAGCACTTTGGATTGATTCCTGGGCATTATATCTTTTATATTGTTATTGTGACTGTTGCTTTTACTACTATCTGTGTTAATGGGTTATTGATACTGGTGGGAAGGATAAGTGGTTTATTTTGGGCTCGTCCGTGGTGTCACTTAGATTCTTGAAACCCACCTTCTACGTTATTTCCTTCTGTTGATCCCACTAGTTGGATTGTCACTTCTTATGAGTTTGGAGGCTTTTATAAAAACCAGAGCTTTCACAATGTATCTTTTTCCCTCAGACCATTTATAAAAATGTTAAGCAAGGTCTGTCCTGGATTTTATCTCCAATATACCGTAGCATGTGTACTTAGCTATCTAAAACCAAGTTTATTCCTACACCAGTCTCGCGTGAATTCCCAGGGACCCTGATAATTATGTGTCTCTGTTTAGAGAAGTCCCTAGGTGTCCCAATCCTTCATTCCTGTCTTAGTTAACTCCTTTATTCTTAGCTAAACAGTACCTTTCAATTTTGTGTTACCCTTTCCTGTCTCTCCCTCTCCTCCCACCTTCCTTCCTTCCCTCCCCGACTCCTCCTCCTCTTCCTCCTCACCATTCGTCGTCTTTTTCCCTAAGTAGCTTTGGATTTGAGCAGGGACTGACTTCTGGCCTCTATTCACTCCCAGCCAGGACATCACAGGTGACATTTACTATTTCAACTTTGCCAACGGGCAGTCCATGTGGGACCATCCTTGTGATGAGCACTATCGGAACTTGGTGATCCAGGAGCGAGGGAAGCTGTCAGCTGGGGCCATTAAGAAGAAAGATAGGAAGAAGAAGAAGGACAAGAGGGACCGGAAGGACAGAGAGGCCCCCAGCAGTGCCACGGTGAGTTGGGTGCCAGCCCAGAGCCCGGGGCTGCCACCTGCATGACCTGGGACCTCTCGGTGCACATGGCTGGGAGGGGAAGGACGGCTGGGAGGGAAAGGATGGCAGCTGACGGTCCTTTCTCGAGGGCACATCATCCGATTGTGCCAGTCTTCTGGCATGCTTTCCTTTCGGCTTCTAGAGGAGGTTCCTATTTCTAAATAATTCCTCTCTCCCCCTTGGGAAGCACATGTTACAGACTAGGGCTGGTGAGAAGGTGCTCTGCCGAGGGTCGCGGTTCACAGTAATGGTGAGAGAAGTGATGCCATCTGCCCCCTGGAGAGGGGGACAGGGAGCAGCTGGCAGAGCCAGAGAGCCCAGGGGAGCAGAGTGTCTTCCCTCTCCTCTCAGCCAGGCTTCCCCAGTGTGGGTCCATTGTGTGTCTCAGCGGTGCGAATCCTAGATGTCAGAGGACCCGTAATTCAGCTGTGAGAGCACCTTCAGGGTCCCCAGAGAAAAGCTGTAGGGCTTTAGCCACTCCTGTTTGTCTTTGTTGCCAGTGGCCTAGGCTAGTGATAGATAACTGACACTGGAGTGCAGTGTGATAACCTTGGTCTCAAGTGACTGTTTTTGCTTAGATTTGAAGGTGCTTTTTTCCATTATTTTATTTGTCCCTCTAGTATGTCTGCCCTCAGGAGGCAGAATTATTGCCCTCATTTTATGGCAGAGAAGCTGAGTTGGAGCGATACTGAGGTGAGGCCGTGCTCTCCCGGCGCAATGGCAGCGCAGGGACACTGCCTTTTCCCTTCACCCAGCTGGGGGCAGGCCGGGCACTTTGAGGAGAGCGCGGCTCAGCCAGTCAGGAGCACTGGGACTGTCTTTTCAACCTTGTCCAGTCCACTTGATTTATCCTTTTGCTTATGGTCTTCATCCCCACCAGTGCCCGGTGCTCACTCCTCAGTGGAGATCGCCTGTGTCCAGTCAGTCCTTTTCAAGGTGCCAGCCTGGCATTGGATGGTTGCTCATGAACTCAGCCTTTTACCATTTCTAAGCTATACAGATCCTCCCTCTCTCCCCTCCCCCTGCACATTACTACTCATGGCTCTGAGAAATGAGATAACAAGCTCGTTCCTCCACATAGAGAAAAGAGGACAGATACTTTCCAAACAGGTTGAACTTCCTTACGTCATGTGTTTGAAAGGCAGAGATGGTGATGGGATTTCTCTTGGTCAGGGTTACTTTAATAACATTCAGCACCTGCACAGGCTGTGGCACGGCTGACAGCGGGAGAGGGAATGTAGAGAGGGTTTTGGGGTGGAGGGCTTGGAACTAGACTGCGTTCTGGGTGTGTGGCTGAATTCCTGGAGCTTCCTGTTAGAAAGAATTCCTTATGTAGTTTCAGGAGCTGGGAACAGTTGGATAACCCTGTGCTGCCGGTTGGGATCTTAGGGCTCAGGACAGGAGTCTCAAACCTGAGTTCGTCTACGGGGCAGGCATGTGGGTAACCTGGACTCAGGTGGTTTGGACTCTCTGGAGGTGTGTGCTCATGGGCCCAATGGAGTTTAGTGTGAATGCCTTCAGGGTGTTATTGATTTTTTAGGGTTTCTTCTAGCCCAAACATTCTCTGACTGCATGGACCTCTCGTGAACAGTACCAAGTCGAGCCTTTGGTAGAAGACCTGGGCTGTGTTTCCAAGGCTCAGCTCACAGGTGCCCCCTCTTCTCTCCCTTCTCAGATAATTCTGGCAGTCCTTGATGAGGTTGGTGGATTTTATAGAATTAACCAGTCACAGAACTGAGAGCTTGATGGCACTGTAGGGCTAATCTAGATGGCGACTTTCAGACTTTGGTTAGTGGTGAAGCATGCCTTCAGGTCAGTGCCTCCAGAGAGGCCCAGCACATGGAGAAGTGGGACTGCTGTGCTTGAACCTGGGGTGTGATTCTGGGTGATGCCCCTTCCTCATAGCATGTATAGGCTAGCAGCCCTGGGGTACCATGTGGACCCAGCCTATAGGTTCTGTGGAGCAAGGTTGTAAACCATTGATCTAGTCTGGCCTCCTCTTTACAATAAGGAAACTAGGGCCAGAAAACAGCAAAGCTCAAGGGAGCTTTTAGCTTCTCTTCCCTCTTTGGTTTTTGTTTTACTTTAAATGGAGGGTGGGTTTCTTCTAAGGGCTTGCCAAGGGCTGAGGTAGTAAGTATAAATCCGAAGTGCTTTGTCTTAGTGTTCTCTGCATGTTTATATATCCATCTAGGAAACACAGCCTGAGCAGGGACTTCTGCCTTCTTCCTCCTTTCTCCGTGGCCCATCCCCTCTCCCAGCACCTGGGCTTGCTGATCTCGACCTAGACCAAGATGTGCAGGCTAGAAGTGAGGGCTCCTTTAAGAAAGGGAAGAGTCCATGCATGCTTGGTGACACCCCCTGGCCTCTCCTGGGCACCCTGCCCAACAAGCTACAGCCACTCTGCAAAGGCCAAGCTTCCCGAACCCACCAGATCTTTGCCGATGTGGAGAAAATCTTAGGCAGGGCCCCAGCCCAATGCAGGACAGAATTAGGTGATCAGCAGGGTCTGGAGAAACCCCAGAAGCCAACAGAGAAAATCTACCTGGGGTTTTCAGACCCTGAAATAGAAGAGCTGGAAATGAGCAGAAAGCAGAAACTTGGCACTGTGGGCCTCGAGAGCAGTGGGCCACTCCAGGATGGGCAGGCTGTGATAGAAAGCAGGAACCAGGCCTCTGCTCACTCAGAGCTTTCTGAAACCACCAAGGGCCCACAGCTGAAAGGGGCGCCGCACAGCTACAGCATGGCCAAACTGAGCCCCACTGGCCCCGCGGGGGACAAGGGCCAGAGCCCCATTCCCTCAGCATCCCCTGAGGAGGACCCCTCCCTGTCCCCTTGTTCTGACCAGATGCTGCCTGCCAGGAAGAGCAAGCTCTTCTTGTTAGACAGTGGCCCAGCTGAAGACCTGAGCTGGCATGGCGTTTCTGGGGAAGGTGGGAGTGTGGGCTGGGGAAGGAGAAGGAGAGAGCCCCCAGGATTGTGGATGGGGCAGGTCTCCAAGTTTGTCAAGGATGGCCCAGACAGCTCCACTGATCCTGAGGATCTAGGGGCCTCAGCTGAAGATCCACTTCAGGTACTCTCTCTAATGCCACCTGATACTTTGGCATCAGAACTAGCCCAGAATGCCCCATCAGGGAGTCCCCCTGGGGCATCTCCTGCCAGTGAGAAGAGACAATCCCCGGTGTATCCAGATCCCCCCAAAGAAGACAGGAAGCCTAGTGTGTATGAGCCTGACTTAGAGAACACCATCGGCAACAACAGTCTGGCTTCTCACCTTGACTCTCAGATTGTGGGTGAGGTGAATAACTTCCCATGGGACCTGCAGAGCTCTCAGGGATCTGGGCAGGGTGTGGGCCAGTCAGGCCCTGGACCCAGAGGTCTACACTTGAGCCCCTTCCTAGTGCCCCAGTTGTCCCACCTGCAGAACTCTGCTGATGAGCAGTCCGAGAGTGAAGACTATTCTGAGGACCAGAGGTTCTACCAGCACATCCTGCAGATGGCCAAGATCTCCAGGCGGCTGGAGGGCCTGGGGCCGCTCGAGAGCATGCAGGAAATGCCGTGCAAAGACCTCTCCAGCATGGTCTGCTGCATGGCAGCTGAGTCTTCCAGGATGTCTAGCGTGGGTGAGCACGAGGCCATCAGAGCCCTGGAGAGGGACTCAAGGTTTCTGGCTTGGGAACCAGAGCTGCTGGAGCATCCTCAGGAGGTGGCCCTTTTCCTGGCTGGGCAGGAAACCTCTCAGCAAGCCTGTTTCCAGCCAAGCAGCAGCCCTCTCAGGCAGGGGCTAGTCGAGCTGAGTTCCAACGGAGGGCTTGCTGTAGAGCCAGGCAAGATGCGGTTTCTCCACCAGGTAGGCTTCTTAGCATGGCCTCCAGGCCTCAGCGAACGCGGCAGCAAGGGAGCCGGTTGAGTTGTCGTGTTAAGGTAGTCGTCAGGTCTGCTTTCCTATTCTTTGCCCTCCTTTGGTAACTTTTGACCCCTTAACTACTCAGGATAGCCATCTTGTGGATGACATATATTTCTTGTTTCTTCTACCCCATCACCTGCCAGATAGGGGTGGAAGGTACCTGGACTTCTGGGGTGGTTCACATGCTTTGGAGATGATTCTTTTTGAGGGTGAACAAGGTAGCACTGGTCCTGGCACTTATGCAGGGTATAGGTGCCTTTTTAGGATTGGGAAGCCTTTCCCATCAGCTGATGATAGAGAGAGGTCCTCCTAATCAGACACCCTAACCCCGAGCTCTGCACTCAGTCCCTCCTTAGAATCACACAGAACTAGAGTTAATCTTGTTACAGGGCTGAGGCCCAGACTCTCTGACCATCCAGTGAGCTGCTTCTGCTCCTTGCTTCCCAGGTTTCCCAGAACCATGTGAACAACCTGGTAAAGCTGTGCAGACCCTGCCTGTGCCTTCACTTCCTCCCCAACTGGGATGTAACCCAAGGGCATGGCTTGCCCTGTCATTTTGACCTTTGTCCCTTAATAAGTCACACCATAGTCTTCATTTAGAAGTCAGGTTGGCTCAGAGGCCACGGGGTCCATTTGAATTTCCTGGCTGTTCTGCTCTTGCCCAGCTATGGCTTTACCTGGTTGTTGCCTCTGCTTCCTAATTACAGGGGTGCACTGGTTCTCCACTGGCCCTACTAACCACTGTGGCACTATAAATACCAGATAGGCCACAGGTTATCCCGCAAGTGTTAATCAGCCCAATGGCAGCAAGGTATCCTCTCTGAGGGACAAGCCACGCACAGCCCGTGGTCAGGGTTAATGGCCATCTATAGAAGATGACCAGCTAGGAGCCAGGAATGTATAATTTCCCTGCTAACCACTGATTTGGTAAAGGTCTGGAGAACAAAGCCCTCAGCCTGCCTGTCTCCCTCCCTCCATAGCACGTTAGCAAATTAGCTGTGCCAGGAGTCTGTAATTTTCTGTAAGTACAGTGTGGGAGGGATTTTGCTTGCTGCTACTCGTGCTACTTGGGAGGGCGGACGTCAGGAGGAGCAGGCCCTGTTTACTTGTGGTTAGAAGCTTGCCTGGGCTCCTTTTCTTCCCCAACTAGAATGCAGTGTAAGAGGCTGCCTTGGACATAGCCTGGGTTCCAAGCCCATGTCTGCCCCCTTGCTGGCCCTGTGACTTTGGGCAGGGATCTTGACATCCTCAGTCACCATTGGCTCATGAGGGGAGGATGGTGGCCTGAGGCTGCTGGGAGAGGTCAGTGAGACGTGGCATGGAAGGCGTTCAGCTCGGTGCCTGGTGCTCAGGTAACGGCGGCCAGTTTTATTAGAACCACCTCCTTTTCTGCCTAACGGAGATGCTCTGCAACAGGCCAGGTGACTGGGAATCTACAGAGGCCCGGGATGGGTCTCATCCCACCTTTCAGAGGACCGTTTGATGCCCTTCCCCTGGAGAAACGGGCCCTGCTCAGAACTGCCCGACGGCCGGCTGCTAGGCTGAGTGAGTGAGAGATGGGCTGCCTGCATGCTCTGATTCTGACCTCTAGGTTCCCCTTTTTTTATTCAGTCCCTGTGGGATTAGAGAGAAATGGACTTTTTGTGTTGTTTTATACATTTTAAATTTGTGAAATTAATTTTAAAGAGCTCTTTGTAAATTGTCCCCAGAACGCTATCCTTGCCTCTGCTTCTAAGCCCAGACTATTGTAATGTGAATCCCTGTGATGATAGCAATTCTGTCACGGTGATGTCGCCCTGGACCACCTGCATGTGCTCCTTGCATTCATGGTCTCATTTGAACTTCTCAACAAACTTGAAGTGGTAGGACAGACATCTTTCAGATGGGTAAATTGAGACTCCAGCAGTGTGTGAGCAGCCCCAACTCTCACAGATTCTTTCTGTCAGCCTGGTTCTCCCCGGCCTTGCTGGCACGGCACCTTTGGAGGGCAGGGAGGAGAGGAGAGGGCCCGTCTGGCAGGGCCTCTGTCAGCCACTTTCTCCTTCAGTGCAGTAGGACAAGAGAGCTCCTCCCTTGTTGGTCATGTATCTTGTTTCATAGTTAATACTCATTTTAAGCCAAATCATACATGCTCATAGTAAACAAAGTCAAATAGTCCCAAAGGACACAGCACAAACTACAGCAGCTCTCAGGTGTGTGCCCCTCCAGAGGCAACTGCTTTCTCTGGTGTTTACTTCGATGTTTGTAAGCAGCGTGCTCGTGCTACTGTTTCTTGATTCATAGGTTTTAAACTTTATCTGTAGAGACTTCTCATTCTGGCAGATGAGGCTTTGGTGTTTGCTCTCCCCTCCTCTGCACTTTTGTGTGGCTTCTGGAAGGAGAGCAGAGCCCTTCGCGGCCTCTGCCAGCTGTGGAGAACTGCATGCCGTGAGACAGCAGTGGGGGTGTGAGACCAGGAAAGCAGCTGTGACTTCTCACAGGTGGCACAGTGGTAACCTCTGGATGCTGGGTTTCATTGGCAGCCTCTGAACGGAGGTGGTTTAAATGTGAGCAGGCAGGATTCAGATGTTTTGTTTTTGTATCTGTCTCCAGTTCTCAGAGCCATGTGGTTTCTTCAGTTTGTAACAAGCTGTTTTCTGTTGCCCAGGCCCTGGGCTCCTCGTTAGCCCCAGTCCACGTTCCTCTTGGGGGCCTGGCTCCCTTACGAGGCCTTGTGGATGTCTCGCCCTCTGCTCTTCACGCATCTCACAGTGCGAGCCTGGGGAGCTCCGTGGAGTCTGGTCAGCTTGGAGAACTCACGCTGGTAAATGCTTTTTCTTACATTATGTGTATTTAGTTACTGTGGGGCCTCCTTGTGCCATGCTAGGAGCTACGTGGCCCACAGATGAGAAATAGAGGGCATGGGCTGCGTCCTCAAGGTTCATAATCTACTTGGGAAGCTGTCACACCTGTTTGTTGCTGAAGGGGGACTCTTGGTGGCGGAGGATGGACTCATGCCCTAGGGACTGCAGCCCGACAGCCAGGGTAGTAGCAGTTGGAGAAAGGAAGGATCAGCATGAGCCACAGTCACCAGGGTCAGCTTTGTGCATGGGGCCGGCTTGCTCTGGAAGACACCTAAACAAAGAGAGTGGGGAAAGCATTCTGAAGGTCATGTGAAGATCTTCCTCGTGAGCCCCTTGACTTTCTTTCTCTATTTTGGGGCCTTCACAGGGTCTCAAGACTTCTGCTCATACAAAGGCTCTCTTGGGCTCCACCCGTGAGGACAAGAATGCTCTCAGCCTCTTGGCTTTAGGGGAGGAGTCCAACGAGGAGGAGGCAGAGAGTGACAACCAGGTAATGACGAATCCTCCTCCTGGCCTGAAGACCCTCTGTGCTATTTTTTTAGAAAAATTTTTATTGTGGTAAAATATATATAACGTGAAAGTTACCATTTTAACCAATTTTAAGTATACAATCCATTGGCCTTATTATTTTTACAGTGTAGTGCCATTGTCACCACTGCCTGTTTACAGAACTTGTCCATAATCCCAGACAGACACTCTGTGCCCTGAACAGTAATTCCCCATCTTTACCTCTCCCCGACCCCCGGCAACCTTTGATCTACTTCCTGCCTCTGAATTTGCTTGTGAGAATAATTATACAGTGTTGTCCTTGAGTGGATGGTTTCTTTTGTGTGGCATAATGTGTCCAAGGTTCCTCCACATCATAGCATGTATGAGAACTTCATTCCTTCCCATGCTGGGTAGTACTTCTTGTATGAATAGACCACATTTTGTTTATCCATTCATCTGTTGATGAACACTTGGGTTGTTTTCACTGTTTGGCTAAAGTCTGTATGATTTGAAAATAAATGAAAATGATTTTGCAGCCCATAGCCTTACTGCTCGCCCAGTCTGTGTACTTCTTAGGTCTTACTGAGAAAGTATAACCAACAGAGAGCCTCCTGGCCCTCACCCTCATAATCATTTTTGTTTCCTTCAACTCATTGCTCATAATCATTTTTGTTTCAGAGTGTCCACAGCTCAAGTGAGCTTCTTAAGAACCTGCACCTGGACATTGGGGTGCTGGGGGGTGACTTCGAGTATGAGGTAAGCTCCTGAGGCCCTGTAGGCAGATGTCTTACTTGGCCTGGTATTTTCCTCTTTGCTTCTCTCATCTTTCTCCCTAGGGAATACATATTAGGAAAGAGAACCATTCTGTCCCAATCCTGTTCAGATAGGACTTTGGGGCTTGGGCAAGCACAAGAGGGAAAAGGAATTCACCCATTTACTCATTGACCAAATCACCGCCATTTATTGCATGTTTCTACAAAATAGGGTACTTTGCTAGGTGTGTGGGTCATAAAATGCCTAAATTAGATGTGATTCCTCCCCTCTAAGAGTGTGCAGTCTCATAAAAGAGAGGCTTAGAGGACTGTAGTGCGGAGTAGGATGCAGTGAGACCGTCGGGAAGTAAAGCAGAGGCCCGGGAGGGGCGTTAGCAGCCTCTTGTCCACGTGGATCGACCAGGAGAGGTTTTATTGAGAAACTCACCTCTGAGGTGAGTGGGGAATAGCAGCAGGACCAGACAAGCAGGGTGAGTAGTGAGAGAAATCCAGATGTAGGGCATGCACAGGGGCACAGGTGCATTTGAGGACTCATGTGGGAGAGGACTGGGATGGCACTGTGGGGTAGGTTAGGCTGGATCGTGGAGAACCTTTGTGCCAGCTCCGAAGTTTGGATTGAATAACACAGGCACTGGCAGCCATCAGAGGTGTTCAACAGGTGTGACATCCTCCAGATTCAGCACATTGGTTGAGTGCTGGCTGTGTAGCAGCCACTGTGCTAGGCCCTGTAGAGACACAGGTATTGGTGAGGTCTGGGTCTGGGCTGGCTCAAGGAGTTTGCAATGGAGAAAGAGAAAGGACACTAGGGACTTGGTGTTTAGTAAGTGATCAGTTAGTGTTGAGTAAATGAGTGTTTAGGAAACTAAAGCAGGGCTGCATGTAAAAGAAGTATAGCACAAGTTTGGAGGAGTCCTGAGGGGGAAGAAATCACTTGTCTAGAGATCAGGAAACTTGGTGGAAGACATACATGACATTTGACCTGGGTCTTCAGGAGTCAGTAAGTTTTGGACATGGAGGAAAATTAAGTGATATTTTAGATAAGCAGACAGCTTGAGCACAGGGCCTGGGAAATGCAGGATACAGTTGGAGTAGTTTCCGGAAACCCTCCTACCCCCAATAGTGCTGTTGCTTCTGATTTCTTTCCCCATGGTCTGTCCTTTACTTCCACCAGGATGTTCTTTATAAAAAACAAACAAAACCCCAAACTCATAATATCGTTGTAATACTCCAGAACTCCAGTGCACTTTTGTACTTAAAAGGAACAAAATACTATATGTATTTTGGTGTCCATTCATTTTTAACAATTAACATTTCTCTAAATATTCCCAAAGTATTCACACAACTAGTAAATCATGAGGTCAACAACTCAGATTTCCCCAAACATTTAAATATTGATTGCAAGCTTAAACTTTTCAGTCTAATATACCAGATTCTTTTAAATACTTGAAACACTTTAAAATGAGACAGATCACTCACACTTTATTAGAATGATCACAAAACCAACCACTAAACAGTGCTCATATCACAAATTTAAAATTGTTTTCTTATTATCTCTTATTATTATGTCCTTATAATCCCTTACCATGTCCCTGTTATTTCTGACTCTTATGTCTTGGTCCTCAATTCCCTTTTAGAGCCAGGGCTAATGTCTCAGGCCTGCTGGGGTTGCAGGTTGGCTCACAGGCCCTGAGTCATGGGTGGGTCTTCCAAGGTGACCCAGCTTGAGCCACTGTAGGCCCCGTTCTACAGCTAGGCTTCCTCTAGTACGTACCTCACACACTGTCCATATTTTTGGCTCTGCACAGATATGTTTTGATTGTGACTTTGACACTTCTTCTAAATGTGGCATTTTTCTGAGTGTCCCATTTTTATCAACCTGATCTGTGTCTACTTTGAAACTTTTCGTTCTGAGTGGGGCCTGGTCTGTTTGCATTAACTTCAAAGCCTTCAGTGTGTTTGCTTCCCCAAAGTGACAACTTTGTTCTTCTCATCGATCACTAAGACCTTGTAACACTGGTGGGATCAGCAGCTCAGGTTTTGAGCTGGGAGGATGGCTTGAGTAGGAATGGTTGTCAGGAGACTGCCTGACTTCAGGAGAAGGGTTAGTCTCCACAAGACTGAGCAGATCGAGAGGAGGTTCTACCCTGCTCATGTCTGTATGTTCAGGACCTGGCCTACTGCCTGCAACATAGGAAGGGCGTGGACAAGTTTTGCTGAACAGTTGAGAGAATGAATAGGTGAATGAATGAATGGGCCATGTGGGGACAGGGAGCGCGTCCTGGCAGACTGGGCTGTGCTTTTTCTTCCCTTGGCTCTCCCATGTCGTACGTAGAATGGACACTTGGTCCCTGCTATCAGCTGGTGGATTGAAGATCCCAAAGTAGATCCATCATGATGAACTTTGACTTCGAGCTAGTTAATTTTTACGTTATAATGGATTATAAGTGTCAAAAAGAAAACGCATTTTCTTCTTTGACATGCCCTGAATTTCCAAAAGCTTCCCTTCTGATGATGATATTGGGTGAGTGGATGCTTTTAAGCATTATTTCAATAAGTATAACCTCTTTAATATAAATAGGCAACCTAGTGTGATGGGGAAATGTCTGGCATGGGAGGTGTTAAGTACACCTCCCACCCCTGTCTCTAGCATCTCAGGAGACACAGTTATTTTTGCCACATGGAGTGTTGGATTCATGTGTTCTAACCTCAGGCAGGAACTAGGGACTGTTAGGGGTGGGGATGAAAGCGGCAAGGGTGTTTTTAAGGAGTTGACAAAGCTGCTTCTGCTTGGACCACATCCTTTGAAAATAGCTTTTGCCCCAGTTTATAGACCTTAGATCCTCTGAGGTGCCCACCTCTTCCCACTCCTAGGCATCCCAGGCAGCCCTGGATGGAGAGCTCCTCCCGCGGCTTGTTCTGCCCTATCTCATTGTCCAGTCACTTTGCTCATGGTTCCATGAGAGGGCAGTAGGATGGCAAGAATGACTTTCTCCTTCCCTTCGTCTCCTGCCTTCAACTTAACCCACTTCTAGTCTGTTACAGAATCAAGAGGGATGGTTTGTGCAACAGACACTGAAAATGGTGTGAGTAGAAGAGGGAGGCTAAAGGGAAGGCAAGCTGGCAGTGGTCTCGTGTTGCTAGTGCGAAGCCCGTCAGCGGGTCGGAGAGAGGGAGGGAGCTGGGCTTAGAAACATGGCATGATGTCAGTGTGATTGGAAGGTGCTAACAAGACCAGGGAGAAGTGTGGAGGAGGGAGAACAGCAGTGGGAATGAGGTGTGGAAAACAGACTGCTCTGATGGTTGGCTGGGTGGGGGCCTCCCAGAACAGGATCTAGGTGTGGATGTCTGTTCAGCACCCACCCTCCCTCCTGAGCTGTGTGGACTACGGGAGCCCTGCCTTTGTGCTCTGGGCTGGAGGAGGATTGTGGCATGGGGGCCTCATGGCTTTTGGGGGGGTATGCCAAACATGAAATGGTTCTCACAGGCACTCTCATGCAGGTGGCAACGTCTTTTTTGAAAAAGCAGCAGCAATTTGCCTGGAGATACCTAAGGTCCGGGGGCTGTGAGAGGAGACAGGAGGCTGGCCACAGAGGAGCTGTGAGCAAAGCTGCCCGGGGTGTGGTCCCCGCCCATGCCTGTGTATCCCTTAGAATACTGACTCCAGAGACTGCACACGGGCCTGGAGTGTGTCCTGGGTGGGGCCTTGGGCCTCGGCCCAGAATGTGATGAATAGCAGGGCCCAGTGAAAGCAGAGGCGCATGTCTGATGGGCTTTGTATGCACTCCCCTCGTTCATCCATTTGTGACAGTCTATAACAATGTCTGTCTCCCTCTGCTGTCCTTCCCGCAGTGTGTGCCTCTGGCTATCACGCTTTGCGGCTGTCACGGACTCAGCACGCAAGCGCTCTTATTTTAACACTAGCCACGTTTTAATATTGTAATACTTCAATAGACAGGATAGGATAAGCCCACCGTGGGAAAATCTTTTGAGAGCTGAAGCTTGAGAATGGCCTGGACGGGCCTAGCAGTCTTGTAGCCTGGCTCAGTTTTCTCGTGGGTAAGAGTGGGAATCTGGCCTTGTGTCTGGTGTCCTCTGGTTTTTGATAGGTTACCTGTTTTTCCATCATCTTGAATATTAATAGCTAACATTTGTTTAGCTATTTTTCATGTAATGAGCAGTATAACAAATATACATATAATCTAATCTCCGTATAACCATGTAAGATAAGTATTACATCTCCCTTTTATAGAGTAGGAACCCAATATCTGCAGGACACACTTCTCATCTTTATTGACTCATTTATTTCTGCAGCAGCAGCTCTAGTCGCCAGACCTCTTGGCCTCAGGCTCCCTTCAGAGTGGGCTGTGCTTACGTTGAAGCTCTTATCCACAGTGTAGCAAAGTCTGTGGGGTTTTACAGTTTATTTTAAAAAGTCAGTCAAGCATTACTGAGAACCTATTATGTGTCAGGCAGTGAGGATAATGGGTCTGATCTGGCAACGGAAACAGACAAGGAAACCAGCAATGATGATACTGTAGTTGTTATGAAAGAGTATGGGGAAGGCCCATCTCAGGGCAGCTGCCCCAGGGATGGAGGAAGCTTCCTGAAAGATGTGGTGCTATGAGGCTGTGAGGACTTGGGGGGCGGGGGGAGGGGGAGATTTAAGATTTAAGAATGTGCATGGCACAGTAGCAAAAAAGCATGATGTTTGTTCATAGGCCGGGAGCGAGGATGTGTGCAGGGTGTGTGAGGAGATGTGAATTTTGTCCTGAAGGCCATGGGTGCTGTTTGTGGTCTGATACCTTCTCTGTCCCCTAATTTATGGTCTGCTGCCTTTATTTAATCATGAGGTGAGCATAGCTGGGTGGATTGGCCCTGCTTTTGATGAGTGAGGCAGTGTGGCTGGCCAGACACCCTCATGTATCCTGAGAAACTCCTGCTTGGAGTCCTTGGAGCCGCCCAGACTGGTTATTGTACTGCTGCGTGCTGGCCACTATTGGGGATGTTGGGATGAGGAGCCTGCCTCACCCTGAAGGTGCTTGTTTTGAAGAAGAGGAGCTCACCCTACCCCTCTCTCAACTCAGTGATTGTGGCAGATCCCTCTGCTGCAGGTTAGGGCTGCTGGGAGGATGGCGGCACTGGAGGGGCCCTGCCTCCTGGCAGGCTTGAGGCAGGCAATGGCATCACTATTGGGTCCAGTGCCCTTCATTTGGGGCAGTAAAGGCTCCTAACCAGGGTCACCTGTGACATTTCACTTTTCTCCACACTCATCTGAAATCCGCCAGGGCAATTCTATGTCTTGTTTATATTTGGTCCCCAAGGTGGTGTTTGGCACAGAGGTGTCTCAGTGAATGAACGTGTGGGTCTCCTTGTATAACATCAGTTAATATTGATGGAACACTTATTGTAAAGAACACTCAGTTATTTAACTCACTTAATAGGTGTCACTCACTTCATCTTCCCAGTAACCCTGTGAGGTTGGCCTCACTGTACCCCCCTGTGTTTTAGAGGAAGAAACAGGCACAAAGAAGGTTAAGTCACTTGCCTAATGTGGAGCCAGGATTTGTACCTGGTGGTCTGTCTCTGAGGCTGAGCTCTGAACTGCTCCGAGTTTCTGCCTCTCTCAATGGCCCTTGGAATGTGTGAGTTGGCTGGTCAGTAGCTTCCAGACCTGCAGGCAGACAGTCACATCTTTGGGTGCAGCAGCTCTTTAGCAGAGTGTCAGTGAGTGCTGCATTTAGGGCTGCTCCTGGGACCTTTGGATTATGACCCGCAGGTTCTTGTTTGGGTGTCCAGGGTAGGGAATCAGGAGGCCTTAGAGGTTGTTTGCTCTGGCAGCTCAGGTGTTAGCACAGATCCTCAGCTCAGGAGAGATCACTGTCTGCATTTCCAGGGGTGGGGGAAGGGTTCTTGTTTTATTTTGCCCACTCTAAAGGTGTTACCTGGTCTTTAAAGTGAGTGAGAAGCAGGGTGTGGTGCTGTGGAGGTCTGCTGCCCAGATCTCCTTTCAGGAGGCCCTGGTGAAGGGCCTGACTGATTAACAGCCCCAGCTGCTGACTGTGGCTCCTGCCAAGGCCATGTTGCTGATGGTGTGGATGGGGCACAGCAGGCCCTAGAGCAGGGCCCTTTTTGCCTGATGTTGTGTCCCCCTCCCCCCCATTTCTCAGAAGTGTGTTGTGGCCTGAGGCTCTTCCTCCTCAAGCTCCCTCCTTCCCTCTCTCCAGTCGCAGGTCTGAGACCTATGTTCCAAAGGCTTTCCTGCCTCCTTTAACCTTTACAAACATTTCCCCCATGAACTGATGACACTCCTAACCCATCCTGGTGCGTGGTCTCAGAGGGCTCGGTGGGGGGCTCCAACCGATGGCCTGTCTTGGTGCCTGTGCAGGAGGGGCTGTGGGAAAGAGCTGTACCTGCTGCTGTGGAGGAAGAGTGGCCTCCGGACATGTTTTCCCTGCTGCCTTTTAAAAATGAAAAATAGAAATTCTAGACTCTGGTACTTTTCTCTCATGTGATTCTCCATCATCCCCATTGCAAATAAGTACTGACTTTGAGTCTGCAATCTTATGATTTGTCTCTTGGGGCTGGAGTGAGACAGATTCATTACTTGAGGATGTGATAGGTGGCAATGGAGCTGCACCGTCCAATGAAGTGGTTTCTGTGCCCATCAGTGGGCAGAGGTCAGGTTGTGTGTGTCCCAGTCTCCATGAAGTTCAGGCTCAGTAGGTCTGGGTGGAGCCAGGCATCTGTTTTAAGAAGCTTTTGGGTGTTCAATAACCATTGGTGTCAGAACTAGAGCATTGGCCCGTAGGAGTCAAGGAGTGGCTGCTCTGTCTTATAGCAAATCTCTACATTCTTTTTATTAATTCTTGATGCCTCCCTTTCTGACATGACCTGTGGCTCTCCAGGAGTCCCCAGGAACAAGCCAGCCAGAGGAGAAGGCCGTGTCTCCTGATTCAGGTGCCGTCCGCCCCCCTACTCCTGGCAAGCTCTTCAGCCAAGGCGCAGACAGCAGCCTGACCAGTGCAGATGGCAAAGGGCGACAGGGAAGAGGGGCGAGTACCTGGCTCCCAGGAAAAGACAAGAATCACAAGAGTGACCCTGCAACGTCCACAAGTCTGGTATGCCCTGGGGGCAATCAGCCTGCCAAATCCAGCAACAGAGATGCAGCAGAGGACCTGGTGGCTGCAGGAGAGGAAGGTTCCAGGAAGGAAGAGGAAGCAATGGAGCCAAAGAAGGAGGTTTCTGGCCCAACAAGGAGCAGATCAGATGCCAGTGAAGTGAGTCATTCTGCCCTACAGGTGGTTGCTGGCTGCAGCCCTCTGCTGCTTTCAGCCCTGTGCATATTCCTGTGTATAGATCATTGTTAGGGAGGCAGGAGCTTCCTTTGCAGGCCTGCAGTTGGCTGTCAACATCAGCCAGAACCCTTAGTTGTGATAAATAGGTCCAGAGTCTGCAGGAGGTAAAATCCTGAATGAAATTCAGAGCAGAAATTTGCTTTTCCATTAGAACCCTCCCGGGATAGCCCTGTTCTTCCTTCTCCTACTGACTTCCTCTTTCCTCTTCCCATTTCCTTGCCTCCCCCTTCTACTTCTTCTTCTTCTTTTTTTTTTAATATATCTTTATTGATTTCAGAGAGAGGAAAGGAGGGAGAGAGAGAGAGAGAAACAATGATGAGAGAGTCATTGATCAGCTGCCTCCTGCATGGCCCTGACTGGGAATCGAGCCTGCAACCTGGGCATGTGCCCTGACCAGGAATTGAACCCCGATGGCCTGGATCCTAGGTCAATGCTCAGCTGCTGAGCCACGCCCGGCCAGGCCCCTTCTACTTCTTGACTTAGGTCTGGGATTGGTCTTAGTCACAGCAGTCTGAGTTTCTATATAGAGAGATCACTGAGGGAGCTGGGAGACAGTTGGGAGTTCCTGCCCCAGCACTGGGCAGTTAGGTTAGAAGATGACTCCTCATTGATTTCTGTGGGTCTTTCTGAACCAACCTAATACCTGGCCAGTGGCCCAGGTGGACGGAAGTAGGACCTGGTGGGGAGAGCCTTTGGTATTTTTGACTTTTCAGCTCTTCGTCCTGCTGCTTCTCCAGGTACAGGGTGAGGGAATTAGTGTAAAGGGCTTTTAACTACCTGGAAACAATACTCTCATTCTGTTGTTTTTCCAGGTTATCGTCAAACTTTCTAGCCACGCCCACTATACTTCACTGGTTCTCCTTACGCATGTCACCCTTTTTGGCCTGAATTTTAGTGTGTTGTCCACACTCAGCTGGGCAACCCAGCCTGAGGGTCTGGGGGCTGGTGCCTGTGTCCAGAGAGAATGGGAGGGCCCATAGGCCTCTTTCAGATTTTCCAGGAGAGGTGGGCTTTGCTCTGGGCTCAGCCCTGTGTTGGTGTCATGGCCTGAGCAGGATCCCCTGGATCATGATCGCAACCCTCTGTGCTCTGTTTGCGTGTGGGTCTTTTTACCTAGGAGCCAGAGATCAGTGAACACATGAAGGAACTACAGCTCTCGGACTCTGCTGCTTCTGACCCTGAGTCCTTGCTTGGCCTGGTGAGTCTGGGGGGCAGCAGAGTGGCGGTAAAAAGTGAGCATTCGGTCAGTGTGCCCAAGTAGTTTGCCCCACGTTCACAGCTAGTGACCAGGGAAGTTAGATTCAAACTTGGGTCTTGTCTAATTCCAGCTTCTTATGCCGTTAACTAAGGACAACACTACCTCCTTTATAGGTTTGTTATGAGAAGAAAGTGGGGTAAAGAATGTGAAACATTAGCATATAAACATTAAATAAACGTAGCTGCTATTGCTACTGCTGTGTGAATTGCCTATGAGGTCATGTGAGATCATTGCCTCTGGGCTCTTGTAGGAACATTATATGAATCTAGGAGGTCAGAGAGATGTGTGTGTGTGTGTGTGTGTGTGTAGGGGATTACTGAGCAATGTGAGGACCAGTCCTTGGGCTCTGGCCAGGAGGGGTGCTGTGGTTTCATTTCTAAAGTGAAGACTGTGTCCTGGAATGCCAGCATCCTTGGTTTCTTTGTCCCAGACCTTCCCCAGCCTGCTGTATCCCAGCTTCCTTCACAGGGCTGAATCGAAGGGAAGTAGTTGTGATGCACTTTGACAGAGCATTGCCTCTGGAAACCCTGCTCCATCTGTTTGGAGGAGGCACTCAGAGGGAATGGACTAGTGGAAGAGGGCCGGGGATGAGCAGCAATGATGTGAGGGAGTGCAGAGGAGTTGTGCTCTAGCCCCCTACCAAACCGTGGGCTTAGGAGGCAGACAGCAGCTGCATTCAGTGGAGTAGAACGCAAACTGAAAGGAAAATGTCACCAAAAAAAGAAAACTCCTAAGCTAGGAAGGGGAGGCAAAAAGTCATTGGCAAAGACCATCATGACAGTAGTCATGTCTCAGACTCTTTGAAGCCAGGGCTCTGCTCTCTAAAGGAGTCACCATGTGCAGTGGGCCCATCAGTATCCTCTCTCCAGTGAGAGTGGGTTGGGGGGGTACTAGCGGGACCAGAATTTGGCTAGGCCTCTGCCATTTTCCAGGGCTGATGACAGCTGTCCCTACGACCATGCTATCAGGTAGTGACTCTTCACTTTGCCCAATGGGAGTCTTAGGTGTGGAGGGGCGGCAGCATGGTTATGTGGCAGCCCAGGGCTGCGGGAGCTGGCACCTGTGTGGGCACTTGCTGCCTGTCCCAAAGAGAAGCCTGTGGAGGAAGTCTGCTGATTAATCCCTGTTGTGCAGAGGGCACCTGTGCGGGAAGGGGGAAAGAACAGGCTGGGAGCAGCCTGCCAATCCTGTTTCTAAGCTGCCCACAGGTCTTTGGGGCACTTTGGTTGGGAGCAGGCGGGAGATACAGCTGGAAAGTGACATGCTTTGCAGTATGTGTCATGCAAAGAGCTTGGGCTTTGGCATCTGTCCAGGGCTCATTTGCCCGCAGCCCCATTGTTTATCAGCTACGTGACCTTGGGCAAGTGACATATGCTATTAGACCTACCTCCTCAATTGGGAGATGTGAATAGGACTATTACACTAACAGGGTTATTTTTCTTCATACTTTTATTATGAAAAATTTCAACATACTGAAAAATTAAAAGAATTTTACAGCGACTACCCACATTCTTATACCTAGAGTCCACAGTGAACATTTTAACATATAGTACTTGCTTTATCACATCTTTCTTTCTGCTCACAGTGTTATTTTGAAGATTAAAATAATTAGATAACAAAATATTTAGCATAGTGCCTGGCAGATGGTAGGTGCTTTCTGGAAGGGGTGGTGGAGGAGGCTCTGGTGGGTGCTGGCTGTGACAAGGGCAGAGTTAACCTTCTCACCTCCACTGTCTCTAGGGCTTTGGTTTCCGCAGCCGGATCTCAGAGCACCTGTTGGATGTTGACGTGCTTTCCCCAGTCCCAGATAAAGCCCACTGGGAGGTGAGTCTCTCTGGGTGGTGGACTAGGGATAACCCAGAGCTGAGCCCTGCCCGTCCCAGGATACATGTACAGGAGTTTCCTCTCTCTCATTCATTAAGGCAAGGCCCCAGCTCTGCTCTGATGGAGCTTCTGACCATCCCTTCTCTGTTGCCGCCATGAATTAAGGCACCCTCCCCCCAACCGTATTTATCTGCTTATCCATTCATTTTTCCCCTGAGGGTTGGCCACTTGCTCCTATGCAAAGTTTATATAGATTGTGGATTTCCAAGGCACTTCCCAGCCTGGCTCATTCAGCCTTCACAGCCTGATCCTCAGCTTCCCCACCGGCACCAGCTGTGCCTGCCACTCTCTATCCATTCCCTGCTCTGCCTGCTGTGGTCCTTCCTCTTTCATCCAGGCTCTTTCCTGGTCTTGGAGGCCTGTCTCTGCATTACCTCCTCCAGGCAGTATGAATCGTTTCCTCCCTTTGCTTCCCTTAGTGCTTTTTTTGTTTTAAGGTTCTTTGTCTCCCTGCAGATATAAGTTCTGTGTGGGCATGGGTGATGTCTGACCCAGAGTAGGGTGCCAGAATGACTCAGACACAGATATTGTCCTTAAGGAGCTGTGCTTTGAGAAGAAAGTGGCGTAAAGGATATAAAAATTACCATATAAATATCAAATACACTTAGCTGTTCTTACTAATTCTGCTGTGTGAGTTGCTTGTGAGATCATTGCCTCTGGGCTTTGGCAGGAAAATTACATGAATCTAGGAGGTTAGAGACTGGGGGGTAGTGTGTGTGTGTGTGTGTGTTTATGGGGTTACTGAGCGCTAATGAGGACCAGTCCACAGGCTCTGGTCAGGAAGGATGCTGTGGTTTCATTTCCAAAGCTAAGATGAGAAGATCATTTTTTTTCTCCTTGGTGGGTTTGTTAAGAGGAGAGATTTTGGCACACAGTCTCTGCAGGTTTAAGAGAGTGTTTGTTTGGGTGAAATGGAAACTTGTTGGGTGAAACAGATAAGATGTTTAATGTGAATCTAGCCTGGGAGTCCTTAGTGGAGTAAGTGCTGGAGATGGGACAGGGCCATGAGGCCAGCTGCGATTGAGCCTGAAATGATCCTCTCAGCTCTGGCTGACAGGTCTTCCTGGGCCACTGCCCTGCCACCAGGGCTCTGCTGCACATTGGTCACCCCTGTTTGCAGCTCTGGGGGGAAGTGAAGGCACAAACAAGGGCAGGTGGGACTATTCAGGAGGTATACGGAGCAGGTGAATTGTGGGGCACCTTTGACAGTAGGTAAGTGGGGAGGTTACTGAGTTGGCTGGACTCTGGCTCCAAAACCTGGCCAATATCAGAATATTTGGGGCTTTAAAAAGGATAGAGTTCTAGATCCTGCCTAAAGCCTAATGAGGCTCGTGGCTTCTTTTTGGGTCATGGCACTTGGTATAAGTAGTACTAGGGCCAGCTTAGGTTCGGTTCGTGTGAGGCACCCTCTGTGGCCGCCAGCTCTGGCAGAGGAAGCCCTAGGTATGTCTCATGACCAGCATACTGGGGTGTGGAGCATTCTGGGTGCTCAGGTGGTTCACCCCATGAGCCCTTTGTGGGGCTCAGCCTCCAGTTCTCGCCTGTCTTCAGGACCTGGAGGAGCGAGTAGAGCCTTTGTGGAACAGACAGAACTGTGGGTTCAGTCTTTGTTTTTCCTGCAGGCTCCTGTCTATGTTCTGTACTCTTTGGACCTTTCCCGAGGCCAAGGCCAGTACAGAGGCTCAGAACTGAGCTTACTGAGGTTTTCTTCACCTGATACACTATATGCAGCTTAATTGAGATATATAATTGACATATAATAAGCTAGACATAAAGTGTACCATTTGACAAGTTTTACCATATGTATACACCTTTTAAAACATCACCACAGTCAAGATAATGATTATGATCAGTTATAAACATGATCAATTTTTTTTTAATTTTAATTTTTAAAAATTATATCTTTATTGATTTCAGAGAGAGGGGGAGAGAGAGATAGAAACAGTGATGAGAGAGTCGTGCCATTGATTGGCTGCCTCCTGCATGCCCCCAACTGGGGACTGAGCTCACAACCCAGGCATGTGCCCTAACCAGGAATCAAACCGTGATCTCCTGGATCCTAGATCGATGCTTAACCGCTGAGCCATGTCCGGTGAGGCTCTATTTACTCTTTTGATTGGGTGCAGAGCATCCAGCTTTGTGAAGGCACTGTGGTTTATTTAATTGGGGACTAGATCATGCACAAACGAAACTCCGAAGCTGAGTTAGGAGGGAAATGGTGTCTGGAGGCGTCTGGAGCAGTCTTAGGCCAGAGGCCAGAATCTGTTTGCTGTCTCCCTTTCTGAAGAGCGCCCACGCGGGTGATTTCTGTTTGGGTCCTTCAACTCCTTTTGTGGGGATCAAGTGAGACTACTCGAACAACCTCTGTCTGGGTCCTTTCCCAAGGAGTCCCCTTTTCTCCAGCAGGGGCTTCTGGCAGAAATAGAGATGAAACGAAGGAAGCAGACACTGTCTGCAGCTAGTTCTTTCTGGCTCAGGGCTCAGTTTCCAAGGTTTTATCATGATCACTTCACTTTTTCACCCATCTTCATTTTCGTTTGTTAGATTGGCCTGTGTGACTTTTTTCTTGAGAAATGAGAGAGGGAGCTATTTACTGAGCTTGACATGATTTGTAGGGAAAACAGGTTGTGAGTTGAGCACTGGAAGGAAAGAAGGGGACAGAGGAGGACTGTGTGCCCTGCTCTTGTCTGCGGGCTGCCCAGGCTGATGCGATGAGGAGTGGCAGCACTGGCAGGGAGCCCTTCTGCTGCAGGCGCCGGGAGGCACTCAGGGCAGCATTTCTATTTTTAATGTAATTTGGGGGAGCTGGCTTTTAGCTCAGGCCCTATCCTCCTCGCCCATCCAGATGGCAGAGTGGGCCACAGCTGCTGGGGTGCAGGTTGCCAGTGGAGAGGTGTGGGAGACTGCGGGCCCAAGGCCGGGCCCCCTGGAGAAGGTGGGGTGAGTTGTCTCTTACCCCACGGCTCCTGCTCTCCCATGTTCCAGAACAGATGGCTCCTGTCAGTGGGACAGAAGAGCAGTTGCTCCATTGTCTGTCTTTTTGTCTGTCTGTCTGCCTTAGGCCTGGAGGGGAGACGTGTGCGCAGGGAGCTAACATGGTGGCAGTCTTCTGTGGGCCAGGGTCGGTTTATGTACGTAATCTGATCTAACCCTCTCCAGTGCTGGCACAGGGGGTGGAGTCTGGGCTGCCTGCACCACTAACTCCTGTGGCCCCGTCCCTGAAGAAAACATCGGAACTTATCAAGAATAGTTCTCTTCACCAAATTTGCCCAGACACCTCGGCTTTAAAATGAGATTTGTTGGTATTTTTGGATAGATGGTATAATCCTTGCCTGGGAAGGGGGCACTGTGGTCCACTGATGGGAGCAGGGTGGATGGGGAATCTCAGGATGGAGCAAAGGAGCACCCATCCTGCTCCCTGAGGTGCCCATCTGGGCCCTTTCTGTTTGGAGTACAGTGCTCTCTTATTTCCCTCCAGGATCCTTCCTTTTGGGAGGGGGTTGGGAGGAGAGGGAGGGAGGAAGAAAGAGGACCATCAATATGAAAGAGACACATCAGTTGGTTGCCTCCTGCATGTACCCCGACCAGGGCTGGGGATTGAAACTGCAAACCAGGTATGTGCCCTTGACCAGGAATCTAACCCGAGACCCTTTGGTCTGTGGGCGAACGCTCTTACCACTGAACCACACCAGACAGGGCTGGCATCCTTTCTCTTGAATGTAGTTGTCTGCTGCTTCTGATGTAGCCCGTGTCTTTCAGCCTCCTTGGGTGTCACTGGCACGGAAGGTCTGGGGCCTCAGTGGATGTGGGGTGTTCATGGATCTCTCTCTTTTCAGCTGGCAGTGAAGGCTTCCAACTGCAGGGGGCAATATTTGCTTTCTCCTGTGTGTTGTCCTTCAGCCCCTGGCTTCTGGTTCTGCATGCAGTAGCTGTGGTGTCTGACTCACCCTCCCAAGCCAGGGCCGGACCTGGGAGTGGGGGCTTAGCCAGAGCCCCTGGAGGCTTTACTGTACAGTAGATAGGCTGTTTCCTCTGTATCCCGGGTGTTCCTCACCCACCGAAGAGCCACCTCTCAGTGCTTCCTCCAAGGCCTGGGAGTAGCGAGGATTGAGAAACCCACATACAGAACCCTCTGAGACACTTTCTAATGCTGCTGCCTACAGGCCCTGAGGTTGGGAGAAGACAGGGATGACAGCCAGCACAGCCAAGATGAGCCACAGAGCAAGCAGTCGGAAAGCTCGGAGAGGTACAGTACAAGGAGGCCGCCCTCAGGGACCTCTGGGATGTGTGACATGGGCAGAACTCCTTGCTTTGGTCTGTGTGACTCAGTGTGCTCCTGCCCAAAGGCGCATGTGAACTGACTGGATGGCCTTGTAAAGTATGTGTGTGTGTGAGTGTGTGAGCGTGTTTGCATGTGTGTATGTATGAGTGCACTTGTGTATGTGTGTGAGTGTGTGTGCATGTGAGTGTATAGAGCGTATGTGTGAGTGTGAGTGTGTGTGTGTGTGAGTAGATCTCTGATTCTGCACCAAGACAGGAATATAAAGAGCTGCTGGTGCCTTTGTGGGACTTTGTGCACATAGCACCACTGTGGGCCAGGGACTCCGTCCTGTCACCGCTTGGATTAAACTGTGTGTGTTGTGGCCGATGGCCAGCCCTGGAGTAGCCTGCTGGAGATCTTGGGGAGTCATGTTAGAGGGTCAGCTCTGCAGCTCAGAGCTTGAACCTGGGCCCTGCCCGAACAGAACAGGCTGTGGCTGACTTGGTGTGTGTGGGAGGGGGCTTCTAGCTTCTCAGGCCTGAGCCCAAGATAATAAAAGGGCTGCAGCTCTGGAAGGGGAAGGGGGCATTCATTTTACTGTTTGGACCTTGAAAAGCTGTCAGAATCCTTCCTTCGAGCTACAGCTTCATGCATTTTCTATAGTCTGACCACTTGAGCCTGACTTCACGTTTTCTCCCTATTTTCTGCGGGGTGTCCTGTCCCTCCCTGGCCCAGTGATGGTGAACTCTGGGAATGGGCACACCGAGAGTGAGTCCAGCTCTCTCTCCTGGGCCAGCAGGTACAGCGCAGAGACCTGGGAGTCTGGGCCTAGTCAGGCAAAGGAAACACTGAGCAGGGAGTCTCCCCTTTCTGCCCTTCTGGATGCTTTGTTCTCTGTGCCTCTTGTGAATGTGGGGTCGGGCCGGGGTCCAGCCTGGGAGGAGGAGTGGACCTAGGTCCCCACACTGCACTACCCAGTTATCTTCCTGACTCCGCTGCTCTGGATGGTCTGACCAGGGTATCTCCTTCACTTCTGCATGGGGAGTGGCTTGGGAGTCCCCTTCACAGCCAGGCCACGGGAAAACGGCCTCTGCAGGCCTGTGACAGGCAGACAGAGTGGAGCAGGGCAGAGGAGCCTGGGGAGGACTCTGCACGCAGCCCCCTCCCGCCTGATTTCCTGCAGAGGTAAGAATGATTGGGGAGCCTCTTGGGATGCGTGGTCCATCCTGCATGTAGTTGTGTGCGGGGGCTGAGAGCCAGTGGTAGGGGTAGGGTGGCAGGCCTGGAGAAGTGGGAGAGCTGAGGCGAGTGTGCAGCCTGAGCAGCTGGAACAGGTTTTCCCGAAGTGTCGCACAGGAGCTGGAGAGGGAGGAAATGGGTCTCTTCTGATTTTCAGTCTGCAGCTAGAATTGGGGCGCATAGTCTGATTAGGGGAGCTTAGGAACTCTTGAATGAGGCAGGGTCTCTTTTGACCCAGCTGCCTCCCTGGTATCAGGGCTGTGCTGGTCCTGCCTCAGGCCCTTTTCCTAGTCTCTGCCCACCCGCTTCCTCCTACCCAGTAGTCATCCCACCTCTGGTCCTTCAGCAGACCCCATAGGGCCCTGTTGTATGCTAGGTGAGAGAGGTGCCCTACCCCAGGCTTCCCTGAGGCCTGCTGAGGGCACCTTTGTGCCCCTGCTGGTCCAGATCCTGGGGCTGGCTCTCTCTGGCAAGAAAGAGGAGCTGGCCTTAGGGCTCATCTAGTTGGAATGAATCACTGGGGGAAGTGGAGCAGCATCAGTGTTGAGTCATCAGCATCTATCGAACACCTGCTGTGTGCAGAACTTTTCCTTGGGTCCCATACCGCTCTGCCTCCCACGTGGGATGCCAGTGTCTCTTCATTGTAAACAGCTTGGGAAGAAGCAGGGAGAGCAGAGTGAGATTTAAGACCTGAGGTAGGGAAACTTTTGGGGCTGCCTCCCTTGTCCCCATCACAGCTGTTTGACCCCGAATGGGGTGCAGCTGGAGCCTCTTGCATTTCTACTGGCTTAAACACATTTGCTTCTTTATTGCTATCAAGGGAGGAGACCCCAAGTTCACCTGCCACTTGCAAGAGGGGCAAGGAGTTGTGCTCCCAGGCCGAGGAGCCCGAGGAGAAGGTGGCAGTCAGCCCCACGCTGCCCGTCTCTCCTGAGGTGTAAGGTCCAGTTCTTACGTGTCTGCCCCTGTCGTCCATCGTGTGTGGATGGCTTTAGTTCCCCTCCACTCTTGGGTGGTGGGGAAGAGATGCTCCGGCCCCACCAGGGGTGGAGTGGGGTGTGTGTGTGAGTGTACCCTTGGTTCTCTGAGCAGCCTTGAGATCCCCAAGTAGCTGTCACTGCTCCCCAGGGGTCCCCTTGTCAGGCCCTGGGATACAAGGGTAGAAGTGAGGGAGTACCTCCTGAATCATTAGTAGAAACCTGGTAAATCATGTTCTCCTCTTCACCAAGCACTATTTTCTCTTTCCACTATAATTGGAAAAAAATGCCTACTGAAAGAAAAACCAGAAGTTGTATGGAGATATCTATGTACACAAAAGTATACAAATCTGAATTGTACAAGTCAATGCATGTTTACATGTGTACACACTGTGTACTCGTAGCCTAGATCAGATGGAGAGCATCCCGTCCCTCAAGAGAGTTTCCTCTTGCCCCTTCCCTCATAGTCCACCCACCCCAGGTCACCACTGTTCTGTTTCTGTCCTGTGGATTTGGTTTTCCAGTTCTCCAGCTTCATATAAGTGGAATTAGATGGTATACAGAGATGTAGCTTGTGTCTGGGTTTGAAGCTCATTTATGTGGTTGCATGAAGCACTTCCACAACTTAGGAGTCACTTAGTGTTTCTCTGCCCAGTTCTCCTCCCCCTCACTCACCCCTTTTACAGATGGGGAAACTGAGGCTCAGGGAGGGGAAGGGGTTTGCCCAAGGACACATGGCTAGTTGGTTGCAGAATTAGGACTGGTCTCCGGTCAGTGGAACCGTAGACGTCCGACTTGGTGTGCAGCCACTGTTCCTGCTCTCTGCAAGGGGAGATAGGTGCAGGTCACACAAACGTTCCCACCTGACTGAGTGGTTCAGAAGTCAGGATTCGGGACTGACTGTGGAGCAGAGACTCGCCACCCAGGATGGCTTACAGAAAGTGTCTGAGAGCTGGCGAGGCACATGAACTCCCGCACTCACAGTGTCACCACGGCGCTGTAGGAGCGGTGTGGTGAGGGGAGCCCTGTTCTCAGGTGCTGATCCAGCCTACTGACAGCTCTGACCCCAAGGAATGCCATGACTTTCTCAGGCCTCCTTGGTGGCTGTGGATAGCCAGGCCAGGGTGCTCTCTATGAGGACAGGAGGCGAGTGGTTCAGGAAAGGACCCTCTGGCAGATGTCAGAGGTCAGAGGGTGTATACCCGGGGCCTCTGGGAGAGAAGCTGGGCAGTGATGGAAGCCAGGGCACTTGTGTTTCTCCCCTGTCCAGTGACACTGCCCTGGTGAGGTCTCAGGGACAGTGCCCTTAGGAAACCTCTTTTGTTCCCCTCCTGAGCCTTTTCAGGTCCTGTAACTTCCTTGTCAGTAATCTTCATGGCTGCAGTAGGATTGATTTTCTGGGTTCTGTGGGGAGTAGTCTGTACCTCATTTGTACCTGCGGGATTTTAATTTGTGGAGGTGACTGACAACATGGAAAGGCCAATGCCCCTGAAAGAAGAATTTATTACTGACCTTTCCAGAGAGAAGAAGGCATGCCATGCCATACAGGGTCATGCGGGGAAGGACCAGGGCCGATCAGGAGGCAGAAGAGGCGAGAAGGGAGAGCATGGTCCAGAACCTTTCTTGGGGTTTTCTTGGGAAGGAATGAATGAGGCAGGGTAAGTACCCTAACTGTGGGATTGTTTGATTTGAATAATTTTGTGGTTTGGGATTATGGGGTGGTTTCTTGGTGCCTAGTACCTGGCCCTGAGAGATTTAGGGTAGGATAATGCTGACTTGGTGTGAGTGTGATAAGGAAATGCTTGGGGTGTAGGCTCAGGGCTGCCTGTAAGAATTGGCTAGTCCTGGGAGGGGCAGTCTCTCTTTGACCAACAAGCTCTTTAAGAATGTCAAAACAGCCTGGCTCAGTGATTGAGCATCTACCTATGAACCAGCTGTGGGCTCGATCCCCAGTAGGGTGAGTGCAGGAGGCAGCTGATCGATGACTCTCTCTCATCACTGATGTTTCTGTCTCTCTCTTCCTCTCTCTGAAATCAATAAAAACATATTTAAAAAAAAAAAAGAATGTCAAAAAAAGATGTCAAGTTGAATCATGAGTTAGGAGGGAAGGGCCCACCAGAGAGTGTGGGCAGGGCCCGCAGGCAGTCGTCATGCAGGCTTTATGGCCAGAAGGCCTAGGTCTGGGAAGCAGGGTCTTTCTCCCATTTGTCATACGCATATCTTCCATGAGGTGCTTGTGGAGAGAGGGTGGGTGAACTGAACCACTGGGTTGAACGTGAGAGGACACAGATGTCTCAGTGGCTGTTCCAGTGTCAGTGGTGTATGGCCATTTCAGGATGCCTGGTGCCGTGTCTTCTTCCGCCTCTTCCTCCCTGATAGCCCTCCCTCCTTGCTCTCCTTCTCATGCCTCAGAGCTACTTGGTGGCCAGCCTGAAATGTTATATTCCTACAGAGCCTCCTCTTGGCCATAACTGTTGGAAATCAGGTCTCACTGGTGCTGATACCTGAGGAGTGGCCTGGAAATCGACCTGCCTCTTCCTCTGGAGTCTGCATCTTCCCAGTTGTCTGGTGGATCTTTCCTGTGGGCCCATTGTTGACTGCCTAGGATCTAAGCTGGGAGTTTAGGATTTTAGATCTTTAGAACAGGGACATGGAGAAGAGGTGCACTAAAAAGTAGGCCAGTGTGCCTGCTTGCCAGGCGTGCGAGCCAGCTCACTGGTGCGTGCAGCCCGGGCACAAGCTGCCATGCTGTCTGATGCCTCATCTTTCTGCAGCGTCTGTCCCTGGGGCTCCACATAGCTGCACAGCCCACAGGGGAGGGACACATTAAACAGCCATCTCAGGGAAAAGAGATGTTTTCAGCCAAGGTTGGAAATGAGTTGGAGGGTTGATGAGGCGGAGAGCTGCGGGGGGGAGGCTCTTTCCAAGCGCGGGATTCTCAGAGCGGGTGGCAGCTGCATCCCTTACATCTGCATCAGTTGGGCTGTGTCAGGGGACTGAGAGGAAGCTGGGAATTGGAAGGAGGGGTTGATAGAGCTGGGAACAGAAGAGAATTGAAGGCATAGCTCAGGACTGTTTCTGGTCTCAGTAATAATTTTAGGAACAGTGGAGAGATTTTAGTGGTATTTCAGAGATGTCATTGGCTTTTTATGTTTTCCTTCTCTCTGTGGTCTCAAGGGGCCAAAATGGAATTGTTCCAAAGGCCTTGTTTTCACCTGCCATTCTGACCTGACCTGAAAGATGAGGCATGCTGCCTTCCATCTGCTGCAGGGCTAGAGCTGGAGGGAGAAGGGGTTCTGCGATCCCAGCAGGGGGACTGGCTTCCTGCCCCTGGATTTGGACCATGCCCGCATGCTGCTGAGGTTGACGGGGTCACTGTGCCAAGCTTGCTGCAGCCTGAGCACTGTGGGAGGAGGGTGGTGGTTGAGTGGCAACAGCAATTTCTAACGTTAGAGTTAGGGAGCTGGGAATGCAAACATACTGGCTTTTAGGAAACCACCCTGGGAGGTGAAATACTTTACCCCACTTATGCTTTCATCGTTCTCAATGCTCTTTGGGTTTCTCTGGATATTTCTTTCAGAACCAGGGCACAAATAACTAACTACCTTGTTACTTTATAGACATCTTTGTAACTGATACCCTTAGTCTTTATCTTCCACCCACCGTGTGCATCCTTTTAGCTCTGAATTTCTGTTACCCATTTTTAAACATTGATTCCCCCTCAGTGGATGAGCACGTCGCCTCGTTGGGGAGATGGGAGCATCACATTCTGTTGTGCTCTTGCTCTTAGGGGGTGGTGTCCTGCCTGACTCCCTGGGCAGTGTGGGCTGAGGTTCCCGTTCCTGGACCTTCATGACTGTTCTGGGTCTCAGGGCGAGGGGAGATGCTGCTGCTTCCCCACTGGCTCATACGCATTGTACTCTATTCCGTTTGGGAGGCAAAGAGCAGCCTCCGGGGACTTCCCAGACTGCTGCATGAGCCTCAAATAGAGGTAGAACCCTAGTGGAGAGACAGAACCAGGGCCTTGAGCCGCGCTGGGGGAGAACTGCTGGGACAGAGCTTCAGTTTCTCCTTGCTGCTGCCAGCTCCTGAGCCTCATCTTCTTCTTGGCTCCTAGCCTGCCAGGTCCTGCTATGGGCTGCCCTTCTCCCTAGGCTCTTGGGGCCATAGACAGCCACAGTGGGGCTTGTCTTGTAGAACGGGTGCTGCCATATATCTGAGAGTGGTAGCCCTACTTCCTGCCTTGGGTGACCTGCTTTACATATGTGATTCCTGATCGTGGGCCCTCCCTCCATTAGGGTCTGTGAAGATCTGTAGCTCTGTAAACCTTGATGCCAAAAGGTGGGTGGGTATTAAAACTTGTGAAATCCTGTTTCCCAGCCTTGGTAGGCCATCTCCAGAGCTTTTGGCTCCCCCAAAGCAGCTGTCAGAGGCTGCCTGGAAGGCCGTGGAAGAGTCAGTGGCCCAAGAGCTCGAGCAAGACCAGAGGCAGCTCCTAGAACTGAAGCGAGAGAAGATGCAGCAGCTGCGAGAAGAGCTGTGGCGGGAGGAGGAAGAGGAGACCCTCCAGCTTCACCAGCAGAAAGAGAAATCTCTGAGGTGCCGCCCCTCCCCTTCGACAGGCTGCACGGGGTACATGTGGGGAAGGGACACTCCCACATATGTCCCAGGGACACTCCCTGGGATGCCTGTGGCCCCACCGGGACTCTTCTGCGGTAGCCCGTGTGGAGGAGTGGGCTCCCTCGCCGAGGCTCACTGCCCCCTCCTTTTGGTGGGGAATTGGGAGGCATGACCATAACCGGAGTAGCTGACACTTTTTGAGAGATCACATTGATACCTGTGCTTTATGTCTGTGATTTGTTAGTCTTCTGAGTGGCTCTTACAGGATGTTGTTATTGACCCCATTTTATAGAACCTGGAATGTAGGCGAAGAAGTTGAGGCACCGAAAGGGTGAGTACGCTGTCCAAGGTATGGAGGCTGAGGGGCAGCAGAGCCAGCTTAGCCCAGGGGCATGCCTCTGACACCCGTTTTCTTAACTACTGCATGTCGTCTTGGCAGTCAGGTCCCTGTTGGGACCCAGTTGGGGTTGGTGGGGCCACAGGATGTGTGTGAGGTGCTCTTGCCCAGGACCCAGGTTTCTGTTTGGGTTCCTGCTCTTTGTGTAGCTGGCTGGGAGGCCCTAAACAAACAAGACACTTACACCTGGGCTGGGCCTCTGTATGTGATTGTGTGTATATGAATGGATGAGCTAGAGCTTATTTTTGTAAGAAAAGCAGTCCTGGCTGGCACAGAGGCTCTGTAGAGTCCCAGGCCCCTGTCTTCTCTAATCTGTGCCTCTCCAGTGCTGGTTTCACTCTCAGGGTCTCTTCACAGTGCAGTATAGCTTCTCGTCTCTAGCCACCGCACCTGTGCTCCAGGCAGGAGGAACAGGGCAGAATATAAAGGGAAACCTTCTAGCTCCTTCAGCCCCATAACAGAGTTTTCCTGGAAACTTGACCCAATAATTTCCACCTAAATCTCATTGGTTACCCTTGGTTACAAAGGTGACTGGGAAATGTAGTCCTTCAGCTGGGCCTCTGTTCTTGATAGAATAAAACCAGGGCTCTGTGAGTAAGGAAAATGGGATAGTGGATGTTAAGAAGGATGGGAAAAGTGCTATGAAAAGGTGTTAATGTAACTTGGCAATTTAACTAAATCTTACCCTCTTCAACAGAACTTCCAAAACTGGTGGATACTTATTTTTTTATATCATAGATAACAAAGAGTGTATAAAACCGTTTATGCTTTATTTAGAGAAGAAAACCAGCTTCTGACTATCCAGAGGGTGGGGACAGTCTTTCTCATTAGCCAACACCAGATCCCCTGACCCAGGGCCCATCCTTACATCACCCTCCTGGATCCCCTGCCAGGGAGTATCCCACGGAACAGATCTCCCCATAGCACCCTTTTCCAGCCAGCTGGAAATTGAGCCAAACAGTGTGGTTCAGCCCACCTTGAGAGCAGTGCCTAGAAGAGAACCCTGGTGGTGCTTCCCTGCAGCCCACCAGGCTTCTCTCCTCCTTGCCCTCCCTAAGCTTAGCTTCCCATCCAGAGGAGTGTCCACAAGCAACTCCTAGGTTGTTGTAAAGACTAGCATGCCAAAAGTATCTGACTCAGGGCCTGCACACCATAGTCGCTCAATAAAGGGTAGCTCTTGTTTTTATTTTCAGTTGAAATCAACATAGTTTCGGCAGTCTTGGCTAAGTAATATTTCTATGGGCAGTGCCTTGCCTAGCTCTCTTTGAAATAGTTCATCATGAGGACCCTGTTTCTGTTTACACTCGAGCCTTCTTGAGGGGTGGGGTCTCTCTCTGCTAAGAACTTCCACTTGGTAGAAATCTCTGAAAGCCACACCAACCTAATAGTAAATATTTCTTTCTTTTAATTAAAATTTAAAAAAAATTATAGTTTACATTTGTACTAGTTTCAGGTGTACAGCATAGTGGTTAGACAATCATATGCTTTACAAAGTGTCCCCCTGCTATTTCCAGTACCCAATGGATGTCATACACAGTCCTCGCAATATTATTGACCGTATTCCACAGGCTGTGGTTTACGTCCCCAGGACTATTCTGTAGCGCAGACATCTCCTGAATGAGGAAGGCAGTTGTAAACTGAGGAGACTGAGTTGAGCTGTAAGATGAAGGACGTCACCCCTGAAGACCCTTCCAGCTCTAACAGTCTGTGTGCTGTGTGTAACATTCAGCCGGAGGACAGGGAGCAGGCTTCTGGGGAATGTAGAAGGAAGGATTTTCACTCAAGTTTTGTGCCATAATGGGAGAGAGCAGTGGCGCTGATAACTTGAAACAGAAAACGACCCTTAGTCTTTTTGGCTTTGGAATTCATTACAGAGGCTTCTCAAAGAAATTGTCTTCGGAATCATGTTTTTCTTGGGCTTGAACTGCCTGAGTGCACTGCTCAGAGCCCTGGCTCTGGGGGCTGTGGGAGGATGTGGTTTGTGTCAGCAGGGGTGTCTGCTTTTTTCCCATCGTTGGTAGTAAAGAAGATACCCTCACAGGCCATCGAAGCTGCTGAGACAGGGTGGCCCCCAGTCGCTTTACCATGTGAAAATGGAATACATTTTTTGTTTAATTTTTTCTATTATTTTTTTATAATATAAAATACAGAAAATGGTATTTTTTAAAACGCTGCGTATGAAAAATGATGTCATGCAAATGTCCTCCAATTTCCGCTTTGCAAGTACAGGCACTTTCTACGGCATTTTCCATGAGGCTTTTAACACGTCTGGCTGCAGCGTTTGGACTTCTTCCCGATGTTGTCCCTCAGCCGGCGGGCAGTCCTGGGCTTGGACTCTTGCCCTCTCTGGGCCCAGGTGCAAGTCAGTTTGCACATGTTGCGGAAGTCCGTGGGTTCTGGGGCTGGCTCCAAGCTCTCAAGAACATGGAGGGACGGCCCTGCCTCACCCTGAGTGCTCTGCTGCACACGCTCAGCACTCTCCTGACTGCAAGCTGAGCGTGGTCTCGGGCTCTGGCACATCACTGACAGACCCTGGTACTGCAAACGCTGAACGAAGGGGCGTGTTGCTGGGTTTGCGTGTGGGTTCCTGACGTGGAAACCCATGCACATGTGCTCTGTGTGTTAGAACAGTGGAGCGCTGATTTTTGAAATCAAATTCAGCGATTTTTACGTGTTGCTCCGTCATGAATTTTTCTGTAACAAATTTCTAGGGAACATTTTCAGAATCTGAAACAAAAATTAAAAAAGTATTAGTGCCAAAAAAGTTATGAAATTTTTAAATAGTAAAGTGACTTATGGGCCACCCCGTATTTGGGGGCTAGGTGGGACTGTTCAAATTCACAAGCATTTATTGAGCACCTGCTTCATGCTAGTTCCTGTGCCCGGTACTTGGGATATAAAACAGTTTCTGGCGAGATTCTTTCTCTGGAGAAGCTCCCAGACTTGAAAGGAAAACAGACACAAGCGATTAATTATGACACAGTATGGTGCATGGTGCAGAGTGGCCGGGACAAGAAAGGTCCCCACGTAACCTGTGATGGGGATGGATCGATGAACTTGGGGGGAGGAGCTTGGCCTTAGATGATGAACACGGACGGGTTCATCAGGTTGGAAAGGGGAGTCTCAGCAGAGGGGCCAGCATGAACAAAGGCCGAGGAGCGAGGAGAGCGGTGGGCTTTAGAGGTAGCAGCTCATCTGATGTGGCTAGAGCAGAATCCAGGGGTGGAGAGTGAAAGGATGTGGACTCAAGTCAGGCTGGGGTCAGTCTGCATCTGTCCTTAGCGGGTGCTACACAAGACGAACCTGGAGGCAGAGGGAGCCTTGGGGAGGAAGGCTGGTCTGGGATCGGCTTCCTGAGGCAAAGGGCAGGTGGGGCTCATGGCCCCCTTTACCCTGGGAGGTACGGGGAGGCAGCAGGACCCAGAGGCTGAGGTCAGGATCACCTCTAAGAGTTTATAAGCTTCGCAGGCAGGCTATAGGCTTTTGAGAGCCAGGAGCCAGGAATATGACTAGAAGAGGAGAGACCGGTGGCCTTCCAATGCTTTCCTTGCCTTTCCTCCCTAGTCTCCTGAAGGAGCAGCTACAGAAAGCTACTGAGGAGGAGGGGGCTCGGATGCGAGAGGAGGAGGGCCGGAGGCTGTCCCAGCTCCAGGCGCAGGTCCTGTCCGGCGCAGAAGCAGATGAGAGCCAAATCAGGTGAACGCCGCTGTGAGCTGCCGTCCCGGGGCGGCCCGAGTGCACCGGCCAACCGCCATTCCCCTCTGTTTGCCCAGGGCCCAGCACGAGGCTTCCCTGCAGAGGCTGAGGGAGGAACTGGAGTCTCTGCAGAAGGCTGAGAGGGCCAGCTTGGAGCAGAGAAACAAGCACATGCTGGAGCAGCTCAGGGGAGAGATGGAGGCTTTGGAGCAGAGGGAGGAGGCTGCGCTGAATGCTGAGAAGGAGAAGGCTTTGAGGCAGCTGAGGGAGCGGCTGGAAGGGGAGAGGAAAGAAGTGAGCAAGTAGAATTGGACCTTCCTCTCTGACACGTGCCTGGGCTGCCTGGGGAGGGACTGAGTGTGGAGGAAGAGCAGCCTTGGGTATGCAGGTGGGGAGACAGGCAGAGAGTGGGGGCTGCACAGGTGGGTGCAGAGACCATGGACCCACTACTCTGTGTCACCCAGCCTGTCTCAGGGCAGGAACAAAGCTTGGTCCCCGCGGAGCGGAGGGTGTGCAGCGGTCCAGAGGCTCGCTGTAGGGCCGCTGGGCCTGTAGTGGTTGGGCGTTGTCAGTGGCAGTGAAGAAGTTTGAGGGAGATGGCCTGTGGATCTTGGGAGGTTTTATGACCAGAAGAACTTGAAGCAGACCAGAGGTCCTGAGACGAATGTGCCTGCCCCCGTCCTTGTCTCGGACAGCTGTGGCGACCTCCCATCCTCCTTTCTTCTCTCTGGCCTTCAGATGAGTGGCTTGCACACTCAGGAGGCTTCCCCCTTGTCCTCCCTGTCCCTCTGCTGGGAGGCTCTGTCTCAGGCTACGTGGAACTGTTTCCTTGGTGAGGGGTGGAGCTTCGCTCAGACCAGGAGAAACTCGCAGGGTTTTCAGTACTGAGTGCTAAAGCCTCCAGCCTCTGCCAGGCCTCACCCACAGGCATGAGTGTCACCCGAGCGCCTGTGGCAGCAGTGGCCTGAGGCTGCCTCAGTGCTCCTCCACTGTGGCCCTGTGTTCTGTTTATCTGCTACTTGCAGACTTTAGGGGCTGAGTTATAGCGGGAGAACAAAGACCTACCTGTGGTTCCCCTTAGCCCCTTAGCTCGAGGAGTGTTGGGAATGGTTTTCCTGGCTCCTCCTTGTCTAGGGTCAGTGCCCAGCTAGCCTTCTCTGCCCTGCATCCCTCACATGCCCTTTGTTGCTCCCCAGGCAATGGCAGCGCTGGAGAGGGAGCATAGAGCTGAGCTGGAGCGGCTCTCGTCCTCACTGGAGGCCAAGCACAGACAGGTAGATGCTGCCAGCCTGGACATAAACCTCAGACTCCTTCACTGCTCGTCCCTAGAAGTACTCAAGCCCACCCCTGCCATGAGGGAGGGAGCCTTTCTCTCCCCTTCCACCCCCCGCAGCCCCATGGGGAGGAGCACTGGGTTCCTGGGAAGTGAGTCCCCCTTGGCCACTCTGTAGTGCTCTCTGAGAGTCACCCTCCTTGCTGGGCCCTCCTCAGGTGGTCTCCAGCCTCCAGAAGAAGATAGAGGAAGCTCAGCAGAAGGAGGAGGCCCAGCTGCAGGACGGCCTGGGGTGGGCGGAGCAGAGAGCTCAGCACAAAGCTCACCAGGTGCTGGAGTATGAGCAAGAGGTGAGTGCTGCACTGTCTCTTCGCTTGAGTCGCTGCCTTCTTGCATGGGGTGCTGCGTCCTCTTTTGGGGTGCTGCCTCCTCAGCTTGGAGTGCCATCCTGGCCCAGAGGGTCATTGCTTTGATGGCTCAGCTGGGGTTAGCACTTCTCAGCCCACGCCCTTGTGTGTGGGAGGTGGTGCTGAGGTGTGGCTGTGTGCGTCGTGTGTCACGCACCTGTGACGGGCATGTCGTGTGCCTGGGGGGCCTTGGGATGTGCTGTATGAGATCTTCAAGTGCTTCAGTCTGCGCACATGGCCCACTCAGTCCCGCGTGTTGTGTGCCTCCTGCCCTGCAGCTCGGTGGCCTCCTGAGAGAGAAGCGCCAGGAGGTGGAGAGGGAGCATGAGCGGAGGATGGAGAGGATGAGGGAGGAGCACCGGCAAGCGGTGGCCGAGGCCAGAGAGCAGTATGAAGCCCAGGTGACTTGGCCCCCCCTGCACGCGCGCTCATGGGCACAGAGCCTGGGCCCTCCCCAGCTGGCCAGAGGGCAGGGAAGAGGGAAGCCCGTGGGCGTGGTTGGTGGGAGGCCTCTTCCCTGGCCCTGCACCAGCAACGTCATTTTATGTCTAAAGCGTTGGGTGAGGAGTGAGCCCTCTTTTTCGGGCAGGTGCACCTTCCTCTCGTGATAACAGCTGGCACTGAACTTGTCCTACGTGCCAGGCACTGTCCTAAGCTCTTTATATAGATTTACTCATTTAGTCCTCACAGCACCCTTAGGGGGCATGAACTACCATTATCTCCATTTTCAAAGTGAGGAAACTGACTTGGGGAGCGTAAGCAACTTTCCCCGACCACCATGGCTAACAGGCAGGAGCTAGGGTTCAAGCCAAGACTACCTGATTCCAAAGCCTCAGTTTTAACTACCCTAACGCCATGCCTCCAGGCTGCATAGGAATCCAGGGCACCAAGGAATAGAGGGCAGGAGCCCAACAGTGTGTGAGTGTTATCTGCCGTCTTCAGCCTTGGCCATGGGTGGGAAAGGTCAGCTATCCAAGTGGCTCCTCTCTGGCTTGGTGTGCTTTGCACAGTGTGGGGTGGCCGACGTTAGCCCGCAGCGGGGCCTCTGCCCAGGGTGTCCTGCTGCTGCTCCAGGGACTGCAGCACCCCAGGCTCTGTACCATCTTCCCCGGGCAGAAATAGCAGCCATGATGGAACGAAGTTGATTCCCTTCCCAAACCAGTTCTGACCTTGCTGAGGGACAGTGGTACTTTATTAATGACCTCTTTTCCCTTGAGGAATGGAAACTGGACGTGATGGAGTGGTAGGGGGCTCCCCAGGGGTTTCCTCACCACATCTGACCAGCCTCTGCTTCAGAGTGGGCTGCAGACTTTCTGGGGGGAGGATCATGCTGTCCTCTCCTCTCTTCTACGAGCTGGCCTTAGGAAACTGCTGGAGTCCTTGATCTTATGGACTCAGGTGGCAGGGGTGGGAGGCCCTGCAGTTTCCCATGGCGGCCCCCTCCATGCAGGAGAGGAAGCAGCGGGCTGAACTGCTGGGGCACCTGACCGGAGAGCTGGAACGCCTGCGCAGGGCTCACGAGCGAGAGCTGGAGACTGCAAGGCAGGAGCAGGGCCGGCGGCTGGAGGACTTGGGGCTCCGACAGCAGGAGCAGGTGGGGCTCTGGGCAGTCCTTCAGAGCCACCTCCATGTGGGGCAGAACAGGGCTGGGGCATCAGGAGAGCAGGACGGAGCCCAACAGCTTCAGGAGTGGGGTCTTGCTGGCCATCCCCAAGCTGGGGCATCATTGCTCTTTCGTTTTCTGGGAACATCCCTGGTATGAGAAGAGGAGGCCAGCCCCTTTAGGGCCTTGGGGTTGGCACCTTTGCTTCTCCTTGCCCCCACTGGGAGTAAGTAAGGTGTGGTGCTTTCCTGGGAGTTGCAGGGCCAGATGGGAGGAAGCATGAGCCCACTTGGGTGGTACTATGGTATGGTCAGGACCCCTCCTGTCACTCAGCTAAAGTCTTGTGCCCTTTCTGTACTTACATTTTTCCTCCACCTTTGCTCTGTGCAGGAAAGGAAACTCCAAGAGTTAGAGTTGGATCTTGAAACCAGAGCGAAAGACGTCAAGGCCAGATTGGCTCAGCTGGACATTCAGGTGAGGGAGTGGGGTGGAGGCTAGGATCTTGAGGTGCTCTTGACCTTGGAGTCATAGCTCCCCCAAGAGAGGATGGGCCTTTCTACCCCTTAGCCTTGGAGCCTGGAGATGGCCCAGGGGCCCCTTTCATTCCCTCCTCAGGAGGAGACTGCCCGGAAGGAGAAGCAGCAGCTCTTGGACGTAAGGAGGCAGGTGGTGCTGAAGAGCAAGGTTTGTCTGCCTCTCTCAGCCTCGGCCTCCCTCTCTCCTCCGACTCCCTTTCCTTTCTTCCTCTCCCCCCATTACCCCACCTCTGTCCACTTGATCTCTCAGGGCATGGGGCTACTCCACAAGCAGCACCACTGTGTGGAAGCAAGCTCGGGTTGCTCAGGGAGTGGCTGTGGTGGGAGGATGGGAGCTGCAATGTGTCAGCCCCTCCACATGGGGCAGAACAGTGTCCTTTCCCCTCCTCCTGGTGTCCCTGTCCTCAGGCTTCTGGCTCCCTGCTTTCTCCCTACTCTTTCTCCAGGTGCTTCTGTCTTTTCTTCTGCCCAGGAAGTCACAGCTACCCATCGACACCTGGAAGAGGCAAAGAAGGAGCACACCCACCTGCTGGAGTCAAACCGGCAGCTCCGAACAGTTCTCTGCGAGCTGCAGGCCCACAAGCTGGAGTTGGAATCCCAGGTGGACGTGCTGCAGACCCAGGCCGAGAGGCTGCAGAAGCACATCAGGTGGCGCGGGCACCCTGCGTGGAGCCACCCTCTGCCCCTCTCATGCCCTCTGACCTCTGCTGCTCAGAGCCCTGTCTGCACGTGCTCAGTTCACAGGCAGAGTGGACCAGGCTCTGTCTGCTGCATGTTGTAGGGATGGGGAGTCTTAGGAGGTTCTGAGTAGCTGGGGTCCTGGTTTTACTGTTCATGCCCCAGCCCCGCTCAGGGACTTTGATGGGAGTGAAGGGATGGAGATAGTCTTGCTCTCTACCTCAGGTGGGGGCTTGAAGCCCCCCAGGGGTTCTTATAGTGTGCTGCCTGGTTTGCTTCATCACGTGGCGCTGCCTTACCTCCCTGCACCTCCACTCCCCCCTCAGTGACCTGGAGGCCAAAGCTCAGAGGAAGCAGGATGTGTTGACAGAGCTGGCGGTAGAGGAGAGAAGAGCTTCCCCGTGTTGTGAGCCAGATCTCCACATCGAGGACCTGAGGACATCCCCTGGGAGTGTGAGCTTCTCTGGCCTTGGAAGCAACAGAATGGCTGGGCTGGGGCACCAGGAGGGATGGGGCGTCAGGGGGGTGAGGTACTAGGAGAGGGTAGGGTACCAGGGAGGTCCAGGCTGTGCTCTATGTAGGGCTTTTGGCTCCTCTTCTTACTGTTCCCCACCCCAATATCCATCAATCAGATGATCTCTGCAGTGAATAGTGCCTGGTGCTGGCAAAGCATCATGTCTAGACCCTGGGAGGGATTTCAGGGCTGTGAGCCTGCAGTGTATCTGCTTGTGTTACAGTTAGTGGGTCTTTCTTATCATGTATCCCTAGAACCAGACCAAAGAGGTACCCTCTTCTCTCTCCCAGAGCAAGGAGGATGCCGGCTTGTCCTTGGACAGGTGAGTTCTGATAGCCTGTCTTATTTTGGGTTGACACCATGAGGTGTGAGTGCCTGTACCACGGAGCTGGGGGACTGAAGACAGGTGACAGTAGTCACTAGTGGGTCTTGGTTCAGGGAAGTTGATGCCACTGTGATTGTTGGCACAGCATGCTAGCACCTGCTGATCCTGGTTGAGAGTCAGGCCAATGGGAGTGTCTGGCTATCTGCCTGGAGGCCTTTCAGAGTCCGGGTGGGTGCCGCACACCCCATGCTGTAGTCTTAAACGGCCACATTCCTACACACTGCCCAGCCCAGCCAAGCAGTTTGTGCCCAGGATGGAGCTCTGCTGGGGGTGTGTCTGGTGATCCTCTCAACCTCCCTGCCCGCACCCACCCATGCCTGTCCTCCACAGCTTCCGGCACTACCTCTCTGCAGAGGGGGTGGCTCTCCGCAGCGCCAAGGCCTTCCTGGTGCGGCAGACACGTTCCATGCGGAGGCGGCAGACTGCTCTGAAGGCCGCCCGGCAGCACTGGTGCCAGGAGCTGGCCAGTGCCCCAGATGCAGCCAAGGACCTGCTAAGCACCAAGGCCCTAGGAGACGTGCGAAAGGACCTGGAAGAGGTCAGTGCCTGGACAGCCTCCCAGCTCTGGGGGAAGGAGGTCCGGGGAGCAGGATCAGCACTTGCCTTGGGACTCACCCTCCACTGCTCATGCTGGGGACTCCAGGATAGTGGCTGCACAGCCCTTGGCTCGTACACAAGTCATCTAGGTGGGCAGAAAGGGGCATGAAGGTTATATATCTCCTCGAGGATGAAGGCACCACATCCAGAAGGCCGTGCACAGTGTGCCGAGTGCTCTGTCATAGTAAATTGTGAGGCTGTGCACTGCGTGCGGGATGCTGTCTCATACATAGTATATCTCGAGGCTGTGCACAGTGTGCTGGACGCTGTCTTATAGTAAATCACAAGGCCATGCACTGTGTGTGGGACGCTCTCTTGTGTGGGTCTCACAGTAACCACAGGTGATGTGCAGGTGGTAGTGTTATTCTGTTTTCTAAGTGAAGAGTACAGGAGGTTTTCAGAATTTCACATCCTGTACCTTGCTTGTCCATTCCACATGAAAGACTGTTCATGGCTGGAAATCTTTGAGTATACACTCGGCATGAGATTGAATTACTTCTCTTCTGTACTTCTTTGGTACCCTAATTTGCAAGGAAAAGCCAGTCTTCATGATCACTCTTAGTTAGGATTGCAGATCTTTGAGGGTCCTGACAATTGTACTCAGTCCCTTAGAATTCTGATGGTGCTCAGAGCTGGCAAGTAAGCTGGGCCCTGTGCCCCTCAGCCTGGCTTGGGGGCAGCAGAGTACAAGAGTCTGGTACAGAGCTGCAGGCTTCCCAGGGGTGTGCATGTGCTCCCGGGCCCTGCCATTGCTCTACTGTGTTCCTCCTGATGACAGTGACAATGATGATGATAGTGGTAGTAGTTGGAGCCATGATAATAGTGACCATTTGGTTAACAGTAACCATGTGAGAATTTATTAGCTATGGATGTGGTGCTAAGCGTGTAGCATACTCTGTCTCTTTTAATTCTCATGACCCCATGAAAAGTAGTATTTTTCTTTCTCAGACAAGAATCTGGACTGAGAGTTAAGTAATTTTTTCATGATAACCAGCCAACAGAGGGCAAAGCTGGTACCCCACGGTCAGTGTGGGATTCACATTTACCCTCCCTTCCTCCCTGACTGCAGGAGACCAAGCACCTGGAGGAGATGAAGTCGGCCATGAGGAAGGGCCGAGACCTGCTGCGGAAGAAAGAGGGGAAGCTGAGCCAGCTGGAGGCCTCTCTTCGGGATGAGGTGCAGCCCTGTGGCCATATGGCCTCAGGTGGCCACAGCTTCCTTTTCTGTGCCCAGGATACGGTTGGGTTCTTTGGTCCTCTGTCGAGGGCACTGGGTCTCTGGGGCCCAGGACTGGCACTAGGCTTAGGGCTGTGGGCCTGTGTGAATGGCAGTGGCTTGCGCTTAGAGGTTGGTTATCTGTGCTGAGTGGTTCTGAGACCCGGAGCCTCTTTCTAAAGTTTCTTGAGAGAGGATCTAGCCCTGGCCCTTCCCCTGCCATGGTACCTGAGGACAGATGTTCCCACCTGGGAGGTTGCCCAAGGTTCCCTCCCTTTTCGTGGGCCTGTACTCTTCCCTGGATGCCTGAGGCGTGGGTGTGGCAGGAGGGAAGCTTAGGTGGAGACACTGCAGGGAGAATTTACTGGGAAAGGGTGGACAACTGTCTGGTCCTGGTAGCCTTGCTACCTGTGTCTCAGGGCTGAGTTCTGTTAGCCTAGCCTCCCTTCCACCCCCTGAAAGGCAGCCTGCAGGATGTGCCTCTCCCACGTACAAAGTGCTCAGGACCAGTGCCAGCAATAACTGCTGCTTCTACCCATAAGGCTCCAGATGAGGGTACTCTGAGAGGAGCCCCCGCCAAGAAAGTGGTGACTTTTGACCTCAGTGACACGGAAGACACTAGCAGTGGAAGTTCAGAGTCCTGCTCCCTGCCTCACAGTGAGTGGTGGCAGCGAGGTGGACAGGGAGGGTGGCAGGGGAAGGGCTACAGTTTCCATGGAGAGGGAAGAACTTCGGGAACAGAGGTGCAGCCCCCTTCCTCAGCTCTGTGTGAATTGGCCTCTGGGTGCCAGTGTCTGGAGCAGGTTCCCAGTAGATGCTTGGGAAGGAGGGAACCACTCTGGCTTTGCTAGTCCACAGGATCGGGAAAGCCTTCTGAATGCACAGAGTCCCTAACTGTGAGGGTGCCCCTGTCCGCCACTCTGATCTCTGTAGCCTGGCCTGCAAAGCGAGAAGCCCTCCTGCTCCTTCCCCAGGGCCTCTTTCGTAGGGCCAGTTTCCTGTCTCCACTGTCTAGAACACAGAAGCTCTGCCCTCTCCCAGTCAAGGCCAAGGCGCTGTTGCCTGGAGGAATGGGGAGTGGTGGCCGGTAGGGAGCCACTATGTCACCCCAGCATCCGAAACCTGAGTCCTTCTTTACCACCTGCCTCTTCCCTTTCAGTCAGCCTGACCGCAAGCCCCACCTTCCCCAACAAGATCCAGTACTTGAGCAGCTCCCTACAGCGGATCAGCAGCCAGCTAAACGGGGTCCTCAGCATGCTGGGGGGCCTCAGCTCTCAGCCGCCACTCCTCACTCCCACCCTGGCACAGACCCCGTCCCCATCCTTCCAGAGGGCTCCCGTTCCCTCTTACCCCTCCCTGGTCCCCATCTTCCCCTCATCCCCCAGGACACCTGTGTCCACCCAGTGGGCCTGGGACCAGGGGCTGGGCCGCAGGCTCTCCTCCTCCGTGACTCAAACAGTGGATGACTTCCTGGTGGAGAAGTGGCACAAGTACTTTCCAAGTGAGCTTCCTTCCGGACATGTGGTTCTGGGCCAAGCCTTCCCCCTCCCCCACCTCCTCTTCCTCCCTTCTGTCACCTACCCCACCGCCTCCCTGGGTCCCTGGGAAGGAGACCTTGCTGAGTACCCAGAAGCTGTGGGCTCTGTGGGTTGGGTGGCTGACTGGGGCCTTTAGGACTCCAGAGCTCAGCAGAACCTGAAAAGTCATCGTCGTCATCATCAGAATAGCTACTGTTATGTGCACTATGTCATAGGCCAGGCATTTTATATGAAGGTATTCATTTAGGTCTTACAACCTCTGAGGTACAAATTCTTTACCCCGTTGTTACAGATGGGGAAACTGAGACTTAGGGAGGTTAAGCAGTGTGTTCCAGGGTGCCCAGTGAGTGAGTGGCAGACTGAGTTTTGGTCAGATCCAGGCTTCAGCTTGGCACGGTGGCTGCTGTGGCATCGTAGCACTGTTCAGTTAGAGGGAAAAGTTACAACTCCCTGTTCCACCCATATAGTTCTAGAAATAAAATGAATAGGGTGATTCCTGTCTCTCACCTTTCACTTCAGCTACTGAAAGTATCCCTGTTTGTATTTGTTTTGGGGGCACTGCCTTTTCAGTTTTGGGGAGGCAGAAGGTGCTGGGGAGCAGGGAGGTGGCCTGCGTGGCCCGGGTCTGGCTCAGCTGCCCCACTGTCCACTGTGAGTGATTTCTTCCCACTTTCCAGCTGGAGTCCCCGTCCTCAGCAGTGGCACCACCTCCTTGGAGAACAGGCTGGGTTACATGTCTGCCAGGTAAGACTCCCTATAGCTCAGTGTGGAACCACAGAGTTCAGCTGTGCACTGCTCTGCCCTGAGCTGATGGGACCTCTAGGGGAGCAGAACTCATGGTCGTGTACCCAGAGAGGCCAGGCAGGCCCCAGTTCTCAGAGCTGCCTGGGTCTTAGACACTCCTCCATGCAACCGGAGGAGAATCTCTGGGGAGCACAGCTCCATGAGGAACCTGTGAGACGACAGCCCTGGCTGGACCCTGCCCACTGCCCTCCCATAGCCCCTCGAGCCTTGGAGCAGAGTGTGGCCTTTTTCTTTGCCACTCTCTGTGTGTGCTTCCTACAGCTTCCTGCTTCCTCTAGTCCTGTGAACAACATCTGGAGTGAGAGGCGCACCCTGTGGGGGGAGACAGATGGACAATTATTTAAGCCTGTTATTTCTCACTCATCTTATTCCTTACCAGATGTATCCCCTCCCACCAGACCCCCAACCATAAGTCCCCCCCCTCACCCCTTTTGCCAGTTTGGGAGCTGATGCTGGGCAGGTATTTGAGTGGACACTGTGGAGAGATTTTGCTGGTGATATTGGCCAGGATCTGTGGAGCCTGGAGTCTCCATGTCAGTATTCACCCAGGAGGGGTGGGCACACTCCAGAGGGGCATCCTGCCAATAGAGGAAGCTTTGAATTGCTAAAGAGACCCCAAGCCTGCAGCTGGTATCTTGAGAGGAAGAGGGAGGCGCCGTGATGGCCTCTCGCTGTGTTGGCCTCTCCTGGCTTTATCACAGGTCCCCCTTCCTCTGACTCTCCTGCCTCTCTCCCTCCTCCTGCTGTGCTTCCCTTCCCAGAGAGCAGCTCCGCCTCCTGCAGCATCCGCACTCCCACATCCCGGAGGTGGGCAGTGCCAACTTGCAGGGCATGATTGAGGCTAACCGGCAGTGGCTAGAGCATTACAAAAACGACCCTAAGTTATATCCTTTCAGCCAGTTCTCGAACCCTGGCCCCTTTCTGCTGTAGCTGCCTGATGGCTGAGCTGGGCTGCTGGCGGCTATTTGTGCCCCAGGGGTCCCAGGCGGATCCTGTTTGGCTTCTGACCCTTTCCCCCATGGCCCTTCCCTGGTGCTTAACTGACTGCAGTTTTCCTTCACCTTGTGGCCAGACATCTTTTCTCAGTGCACAAGCCAGGAGCCACTTCGGGCCTCCTGCAGCTGGGCCTGGATGAGAACAACACGCTGAAGGTGTATCGCTACTGAGGCCTGCGCGGTCGCGTGCGGTGCACCTGGCTCCCCTGCACCCACATCAAGTGCCTGAGGAGGGGCCTGCACTTCATTTCCTCTGATGGAGCATCCTCCTGTCCCGCCTTTGCTGCTGCCGCCCCACTCGAAGCTCGGAGGAACTGTGGGGAAATGGGCTGGGTGGAAAGGATGGTACAGCCGGGAGCAGTTAGCCACCGCAGCGACCAGGTGGCGGATCTCAGCTGAAGCACGTGGGCCGCTGCGAGCTCCTGCGTGGGTATGGCAGCCCTGAGGATGAGGGGCACCACCGGGCACAGGGGCACCTTCAGGAGGAAAGGGCGGCATTAGAGGAGCTGATATGAAAGGCCAGGGACTCTCTTTGGAGCCCCACTGATCCCTTGTACCTGCAGGGCACGCATGGTTCAGTGTATGGTCCTCACTTCACAGAGCAAAGCCCCAGCCTGTTGGTACCCCGGGCCAGGCTCTGTCTCCAATACCTCAGCCTCGTAGAGCCCAGAGCTTTCTTCCCATTTTCCTTTCCTTTTCCTTTTTCTTTCCTTTTTTTTTTTTAATGTCCTCTTTCTTGAGTCCTCTGTTTCTCCTTTTGAGTAACTCAGGATTGGCCCAGAGCCCTGCCAGAGGTTGCTGGAGGCAACCAGAGTTTTGTCACCTCTCTTCCCTCTCCTGGCACTATGCTGTCCTCAGGAGCACCCTCTCCCTTTCCCTTTTCTGGGGCTCCTCCCCAGAGCCCTGCCAGCTAGCTTCTCAGGTCTCCAGCACACAATTTCAGTAAGACGACAGCCATAGGAGAAGTCTGGGGTGGCTTCTGGTCCTCACCTCGCTTTCTCCACCTCGGTGTATCTATGGGTTCTGGTTTCCGTCTCTTTTCTACCTGTGCCCAACCCCTGCTGCCTCTTCTCAGAGCTCGGAGACTCCTTCTGAAGGAGGTGAGGGCGGGGCCAGTGCCTGGCCTTGGCGTGAGGGGCCTTTGCCAGTGAGGCTGCTGCCATCTGTACAGCTCCCTACAGCCCCTCTCAGCGGGCTCCTGGGGATCACAGGAGACGCTGTCTGACATCCGTCTCAGTGTTTAAAGAAAATCCCCCCCGTTTTTCTTGTCTTGAAAGCTATGGGGTTATCCTTGCCTCTCTAATACATAGAGACGAACCCTCCACCATCCCATCACGAATTTCTTTGTGCTGGAAGAAGAAACTAAGATCCAATAGGCTTTTATCTACCCCCCAAGGCCATACTTCCCAGTCATCAGTCTACCACACAGAAAAAGTCCATTTTGTAACTTGGCTGATTCTGTGTGCTTTGGGACTTTCTTATGTGTCACAACCGTCTCTGGTAACAGTCCTGTGTTTTGTACATCAATTAAACCTGTGCTGGTCCAGTTTCTACAAGGGGGCTGTGTGAGTGTGTTTCCTCCTCTCCGAAGGCCTTTGCCTCCTTCCACTTCAGAGCAGAGGAAGGAGAAATTAATATTCACAGAACATCTCCTAGGCAGCTGATCCAATCACAACAAACCTGTGATGCAGAGATTGTCTTCGTTTCTCTGAATGAGGAAATCAAGGTTCAGGGACCTGTAAGTGCCTGGGGTCCTGGATAAAGTAGCCGAGTTCCCTGCAAGGCAGAGCCCTCACCCCCATCCCTGCGCCCTGGAGCTCCCTGTCCCCTGCCGCCAGCCTTGGGAAGTGCTGACCTCCACCTCTCCCTTTGACCCCCCTCCGTGTTCCACTACCTACCAGACAAGACCCAATGTGCCATTTCTCAAGGGCCACTGTTTTCCCTGTGCAGACAGGTGAAAGATAAACCCGTGAAGTCCTAAGCAGGCAAAGTTAGGTGGGTATTGTCCCCACCCCAGTGGCGTAAACAACCTACATACAGTACAATCTTGGATCTGCAGCAACAGAAATGCTGGGAGACCCAACTTGAGAATGGCCCATTTAATGGATTTGCATAAGAAAACCAACTTAGAGACAAAGCACACTAACCCAGGCTCCATGTGTCCCAGTGTCCTTGCTCTGATGAAAGGAGAGATGGAGAAGTAACATTTGTCTAATGCCTCTATGCTATGTGCTTTTCATGTTATCTCCTGTGATCCTTTTAACCCAGGAAGTTGGTATTCTTTTTTTACAGGTGAGGAAATTTAGGCTCAGAGAGGTTAAATGACTAGAGCTCAAGGTCACCTAGGATTTGAACCCAGGCCCTCCTCTGACAGCCGAGTTCTGTTGACCACACTCCCTCCCCTGTGTCAGCATCCCCTGTCTTCCTCCTCGCTCGCAGAACAGTCCTGGCCAGCTTTGGTCTGTAGACCTGGGTCCCAGGAAGGGGGTGGCTTCTAGGTGAGTAAGCAAAGCCCCTGGCCAAGGCTTTTTCCAGACTCCAGAATCATCGCGTCTCTCCCCTCATGGATTTCAGAACCTACCTGGAGAGTCTAGAATCAGACAGGAGCTGAGTGGAGCCTACAGTGGCCGGGTCAGTGCGCTCATGTTTGCCAGTGGAGCGGCCTGGAGAGATGACCAGTTGTCCAGTTAGTGTGTGGCAGAGGTGCAGCCAGAGCCAGGAACTGGTTCTCAGATTCCCAGCCTGAGGGCTCCGGAATATTTTTAAAGGACATTTATTTTGAATAGGCTGTGTGTTCATGTGCTCAATGCTCAAATGCTAGAGAAGTCACTCCTCCCATGGGCCATCTGGTTTCCTCCTTGAAGGTAACACGTGTGCCAGTTCCCCCCGGAGATTTTGTGCAAAGACGAGGAGAGTGGGCACTGTTTCGATAGTCTTGCCCTTCTGCTGGTGGACTTAAGGGTCATTCCTCATATAGAACAAACCATTTCCCAAAGCTCTCCCGTGAGACACTCCCTGACTTTTCTTATGGGAGCAACGTTGGGAATGATAACAGCCCACCCACCCCTCAACTGCTACAGAATCTTCCACACACAGTGGCAGTGTGGCCAGGAGGGAAGCAGCCCTGGCTTTAGCACACCTACAAGCTCTGTGGCCTGAGCAAGCCCTTTCCGGGCCCATGCCTTCCCTGGTCTGAAGCTCAAAGCCTGAATCTACGCTCCAGGGAAGAAGCAGGGTGGCTGTCTCAGCCTCAGTGACAGAGGGCCTGCTGTGGGTGGGGAGCCGCCCTTATCCAGGGCCCTGAGATAGGGCTCAACTAGGGAGGGTGCTGGGCTGGGGAGGGGTGCTGG